AAAAGGAGCACAAAGGTGAGCAGGCAGCACGTCGAGGAATGAGCAAATACCTCTAAATATCATTCATGATCACACACTCATTCCTTGTCTAGATATTTCAATGCTTGGAAGTAAATAAATGATGTCAAGATAAAAGACATTCCTTTTGATTCAGAGTCAAATACTTATAATTAGAAATAAGGAATTCATCTTATAGAAATGCAGGCTGATACGACGGACAGAAGTCATGATTTGTTGCATAACAGTGTCCAGCACAAAATATGAATAGAGACCTGTACACAACAGAAAGGATCAGCGATTTTCCATCCTTCGCTTTGAGCCCATGGATGGGGCTCACATTGAGAACAAGCCGATGTCCACAAGACAGAAAGAGGGATCACACAGAAGGTCCAAGGATGGTATTGGCAAAAATTGAGCAAGTTCATCGAATCATGAAAGGTCTCCATCTCACCTCTCCCGGGCAGATGTACCATTCATCTTCTGCTCAATCGTGATGTACTGACGAATGAGACGGGAGATTTCGTGAGCTTGATCTGTCTGAATTCGAGTCACCCTCTGCTGCATCAGATTGCCGCATTTCATATCTAAGTACATGGTCCCATCCTCAGCCTTCACCTTTCGGGTCGATATCACCTCCGAATATGGATAATGAATCAAGGTCTCCTGTGATAAGGAAAGTGCTTTCATGCTTCAAACGGGTTTTTTATTTATTGTAACAAATCTCATGAAGGACGAAAATTAACTCACGTGAGTGACCAGGTCAAGGAAATGCACACCTTGCTTGTTGAGGGCCAATATGTACTCACTCTTTTCTCGAGGATCAGCCACTCGCTTGATGGCAAAGAAGCTGGAGCCAAACAAAGGCCACTTCTGAAGAATCTCTGTAGGTAGAAACAATCAGTAGTGATCAGCAAGTTACTTCCAAAAGGTACACTACCTATTGCTCCAATTACAAGCAATGCATTCCAGTAACAAAAAAAGGTAATGCATGGAATAACCCCATTTTATTGCCATTGAACCTCTTAAGTGGGTATGATGTATATATATATATATATATCATGGTGAAATGCTCCCCAGTTGGGCTTGACATATTTGTCATGCTATTTTTGAGTTTGAGTTACATGAACTCATACTTGAATTAGGAGTATACACTTGAAAAAGAATAGTAAATTTCTGTACACAAACACTAATTATTGCTCTCACAAAAAAATCCCCACTCTGGTGATATACTTATGTCCAAGAAATTCCCCATTTAAGGATTTTACCATAGGATCATTTTATGATGGAAAGGTGAAAACAGACAACCTAATTTTGGGGCAGGAAAAATAATTCCACTTGTTTCTGAATAGTCATGCTTCAGAGTAATTTCCATTCTTTTACACTTTAAAGGAATCAATCCCCAGTACTAGTTGGCATGCATGACAGGAATAAGAAGCTGAAGGTTACAAAGTTACCATGATAATTGTTAAACAACATAAGCCAGAATGACCAAAAAGTCATGATAATTGTCTTCCACTTCGTATATAAATCCATTCATCTGTTGTTTGGCAATATTCCATTCCATGGATATTATGAACTTATTAAGTATTTGCCCCTTCAACCTTGGTAGGAGCTTCACTCTGAGCTGCTTACCTAAGACATATCTTTTGGTGAAAAAGCAATACCTGTTGATATCCTCAAATATTTGATGCAAGAATAGCAAAAACTTAGTAATATGTTAGAAGGTCAATGAGGATTTTAAAACCTTGAAATAATAGAAGGGCAACAAAAGTTCCAATTGGACAGTGACATCATTTGTGTTGGAAAATTCAAGAATTGGATGAGACATGATTAGCTGGTAAAACTAGTATGTGGAGGTTTGTGAGCCAAGAAAAGATGTTACCCTGTCAAAAAATGCATTAGTTGTTCAATGCAACTAAGGGTGATTTTGTTTGACTGTATGCATAATAATTGAAATTGGATCTAAGTTTTGTATCTACCAAAACTAGGTACATAGTGAGTCTCATTAAGTTACTTTACAATAGTAAAAAATAATTTAAAGAATCACAATAACTAAAGCTTAGTTTTCCATGGTTTTAGTTCAGACTTCCATTCATCACTTTAGGACAGTACTTAAAAAAAAAAAAAAATTAAAACTTATGAGAGATTGAATCCCCCTAACTAGCAACTGGACAATTAGCTATTCATTGCATACATGAACTTGTATCACAATATGGCATCTGTCTTTTCAGAAGATTCAGCAACAGCAAAATAATGGTAAGTCAGAGGTCAGATGATGACAGACCAAGAACTTGAGCCTTGGCATTCATGGGTGTCATCTCTTGAACCTCATTCCATGCTGACTGAACAAGATGCACCCATTGTGGAGGCTTCACATCCCTGACAGTTAGGGCTGGCTTTGGCAGAAGATATTTAGTCTCCTTCAGGGCTGGCAGGTAATCCATGTCTGCAGCTCGATGCAGTAGGGCTGCCACCTTAGAAATGTCATACTGCAAGAAGACAAGATTGCATAGGTTAGGCACCATCTACAAAAGGTTTCAAAGTTGAGAACCAGACTGAATGCATACAACAAAGTCCTGTTGAAGTGTTTCACCAGGCATGACCAGCAGCAGTCCTTCCAGGTAATCAGGGGCAATCTGATTGAAGACTAGTTCAATGTACAGCTGGTTATCTGGCCGTAGTGGGAAGTGCCACACCGATCGACAGAAAATCAAGTAGAACACCTGTTGGCAGACCATTATGTGATATTGATAAGGTGGAGTGAGAAAATGGATTCACTGAATGAAAATATGAAAGGTAACCTGTTGGTTCTTGTGGAGTTCTGTGGTAACATCAAGAATATATTCATCCCGGGCCAGGGGCATAGTGAATGTATCACCTTCCACAATGCAGTAAAGTGAGTATTCCTCCATTTCGTCTGGATTGTGAATGTTCAGGATCCCGCAGATCTCCTCTATTATGTCCTGGAGTTTCACATTTACGAATTACCTCATGAATCACTATGATATCTCCAAAAACCATTAAACACTAGAGTGAACTTCTCACCTGAACTACTGTAGTAGATTTGGTGTTGATGACCCTCTCAGTGCCACCAGGGAGGCGGTAAATCTGCCGTTTGGAATTGCGTCCAGCTGTTATAGCTGTGATCTCCTCAATGCTGGGCACATTCTTGCGCCCACCATACCGGAATGTCTTCCGAAGATTTTGCAGACACACCAAGGCAGTTCCTATAATACATAAATGTAAAAAATTATAACAACCCATTTACTTTTACCTCGTCACAGAATCATATATTCAAAATATAATGTACAGCAAAACGGGTTCTTTTAGCACGGATTCGCACTAGCACTTTTTTTTTAATACCAAAAATTCAATAAACTCAAACCGTGTATGTGCGAACCACACCCCGTGGTTTTCGAACTAAATTGGTATTAAAAGAAAATACCGTGCAAGTGCGAATTCGTGTAAAACGAACCCGTGTAAAGCGAGGAAGCCTGTATTCAAAAAGTCAAAATTTAACGTTCTTCGTAGGCCTATTAATATAAAAATGATAGTTCATCAAATCCTTGGTATGACATTTCTCTCTCTTACCATGATAGGCTCTCCTCTTGTCATAGGCAACATTCTCAAGATACTTGAAGAGATAGGGCTTCAGTAGGTCTGAACAAGTGAAGTATGCAGCCAAAATAGAGAACAATCTCCAACCCCTCTGACAAGATTCAGGTTTTGGAGACTTGTTATTTGTTGTCTGCTTCATGACTTGACAGTACACTTCATCTCTCAGTTGCGCATATTTGTGGCAATTCTGGCAGGAGAAAAAATTCATCAAGCTTTGCCAATAGTTAGTTTGTATGAAAAGGGTCGAGTTTTTCTTACCATAAGGAGATTGTAGACACAGTCCACCTCAGTCTTCCCTTTTTCCATGGGGTAATCTCCCATGTAATTCATAATGGACAGAAAGCATGCCATGGCTAATTTGTTCAGCTCAGAGTCCAACTTGAGGAGGGATCGCTCAATTGGTGAGCTCGTGAATTTCACCATATCCACCTGAACCGCAAATTCATGAATGTATCAATATTGCCACAATCTCATCAACTGATGCGATAGTTCATAAACTCACAGTCTCCTTCCATGTCCAGTCTGACTCTTTTCCTTTCTTGTGTTTATTTCTCTTGTTCTTCAATTCAATCGCTCGTAGACTACCCTGAACAGACCCATCCACCGATCGAATGATCTCTGACCTACAAGCATAATCGAATCATCATTTCTGCTATATTCTCAGATGCTCTTGGGAAATGTGAATGGAATGACACGGACTTCTCTCCCTCGCGGAAGTGCAAGATGGCAAACTGAAGGAGAGAGTGTTTGCCGTCAGGAGGCACAGAGGGAGATTCAGGATTTTCCTGGAGAGTTGAGCTGTCTCCAGGTTCCAGCTCATTTCGATGGACATGATTTACAGGGTGTGAAGGGACTGGTTCCTTCCAGGGACCTGGGTCTTTCTCAGGTCTATCTTCAGGTGCAGCAGGAGGTGTCACAGACTCCGTGAAGTCCTTTCAAGAAAAACACAAGGTTGGGGTAAGCTTTAACATCCTTAGCAAATAGCTTCATATCAGGGCTAAAAGTTCATTAGTTTCTGAATAGGGAGTGAGGGAGGGGGAGAAGGGGGGGGGAACTGAAGAGTATCCCATATGAGTCTACTGCGGATACATGTGTAAGTATCTGGGCAGGTTGAGATGACGATGTTGAATAAGGGCATTTCCATTTTATTCATCTGGACTACAGCAGAATTGCATTTCTATGAAAAATTGGATTCTCATACTTGGAGCCTCAGTTTGAAGTCATTTGTAAAATGTTCACATTAAGTAATCATTCTCATCACTATGCACCTGAAATTGTATGTCTTGATCAGGAATATAATTTTAAATATGTATTTTTTTTCCACTCCATTGTTATTTTTATAGGTCTGGTCCAATTTTGCTCACATGGGTCGTGCCAGCCACAGTCACTTCGGCTTTGAAGGGGTCAAGGAATTTACTTTGTTCCACTTATGCTCAGCTTTCCAACACAGGTATAAGTAGGATTGGTGCATTTAAATAAAAGACATCTAAGAAATGTAAAATGACAAGGAACAGCTCCCAACAGGAGAAAGTTTATTAGATAAAAATTGTTTACTTCCTACGGTTGAAGCTGTTCCTTGTCACCTTCTTTTACTTTGTCCCTCGCTCCCTTTAACCCTTTCAGACCTGAATTAAGGCCACTCTCGGAATAATATACTTTTTTTGCATTTTTGAGCTCTTTTCCTATTCTAATTACAAATCGCATGTTCTATATATCGTTTTTATATTTTGTATAAATTGACCACATCATACCATATATTGTATATTATACATGTTATTACATAACTGAAGATTACAAAACTGACTGGTGAGAGAATGCCTCCAACGGAATTGAGCCTTGGACGACTCAGAACCAGGAGGAAGGAGGATACCTTTCCGTTGCCGGAACTGGTCAATCAGGGAGAGAGATCTAGGTCGATCTAGATAGAAGCCATCGAGACTCGTCGCGAGGCTGTCGGGAGGCGACGATGAGGAAGAGGGCGAGGGAGTGACGGATGCAGATGCTGAACAACACTGATCTTGAACCCAGTCTTCCTGCCTTCCCCTCTCAACACTCTCCTCCGAATCCGATAAACTAGGCACTTCCTCCTCCAAGCTTTTGATCAGGTCTTCCAATATCTCTTTCGCCGCTCTCGTGCTCCGATCCTCTCCACATCCTTCCTCCTCCTTCCTCTCATCGCCATTCTTTTCTCTACCTTCTTCTTCTTGGTCCACAAGTTGTGAAGGTTTCCGTTGTCGCTTGTCATAGGACATGGGTTTGTTCGAATGAGTATTGGTTTGTTCCGTCACCTTCTTCTGCTCGTTCCTCGCCTTCCAGTTCTGGAGACAAGCCGGGAATTCGGGCACGGGTTGATCAGGGTCATTCGACGGTTTCGGTCCGTCCACAATGATCTCCCCGCGATGATTGATAAAAACGCTGCTCCGATGGAGGCTCGACCTCTTTTTCGACCGATTTCGAATGCTCCCGAATCGCAACTTCTCGTATACTCTGTCCAAGATCCCCAATGGCAAGTTCTCTTCATCTTCCGTTTTATTTTCCTCCTTCCCTTCCTCGTTTTTCCCATCATCAGATCCCTCTTCTTTAGGTATAGGGTCTTCCATAGAATCTGCGTTTACGCTCTCAGTCTCACAGTTTCCATTGCATATGGCTTTCAAGGGAGTGGAGGTTTTGATACTGAGACTCACTTCGATGCTCTCTGCTTCCTCCTCCGGCTCTTCGATGATCGGCGCCTGGACGTTCACGTTCCGAAGCCTTTCCATCGCTTGCAAGTACCAGACACTACGCGGAAACCGCTGCAAAACCCTCCAGTTGGAGGAATAGAGACACTGAACGAGATCATAGCCCGGATGTAGATGCCAGGGTTCGTGCTGATGTTGTGATAACGCCGATGAACTCATGAGCTGCCAATCTCCTTGAGACTGGTGCTGGTGCAGGTGCAAGGCCAGCATCTTCTCTTGCACTTCCACCGACTCCGACTGAATCTCCGTGATCACTACGGGCATGGGTTATGAAAACCGGCGTAAAGGAGGCGAATCATCCATCAATGTTCCATCGGGCCAGCGGAGGATTTCAACGCTCTCATTGGCACGGGAAAGGACCAAGACTTAGAAAAAAAAAGCACACACACGCATTCACGCACACGAGATGCATCTAGGATGCGCCTAGCATCGTCCAGATACTCGATGGTCGGGAGCCCGTGGCCGATGGTGACTCCCGTCCATACGGAATGCACCGTCTCGAGACTCGATGGTCGGGAGACTGAGGCCGAGGGTGAATCTGTCCATACGGAAGCTCGGGGGTAGGGAAGAAAAGAGCGGAGTTGGACCGTAACCAATGCTGCTCATCACTCCCTGTGCCGTGAAGCGCGAAGATCATTTCAGTCCTCATCCCGGCGTGGGAAGGGAACACGCACAAACACACACACACACACAACATACTCCATAAAGGACCCCTAGGAGGAGATGTGAACCATTGCAATTATGTACTGTGTGGAGGAACAAAACGAAGTCGGAGTGAAGATCCCATAAGGGTCCCCTCCCTTTTCACAATTCCCTCTCTCAACTTTCTTCTCTTTACCCCTTGGAATGGGAAAAAGAAATATCGCCAAAGACGGATAAATTATCAACAAGCAGGAACTGAAAAGGAGGTGAAGATACTGACGGCACGACGAAACTCGAAAGAAAAAGAATGGAGCAAATCGCCCCGAGGCCCAAGTACGCCTTTTAAGTCGCCGAAGGGAACGTTTTATCGCGTGCGTAAAGAGAATGAAAAAACCCGACGACATGACGGAACGGTTCTAGTCAGTGTCAGTGACCATTTTTGCGCCGACGTCACTTCTGAGGCTCGTCAGACTGCAATATTTATGGCCTCGGGTGCGTGGTCGTATCGTTTCACCATCTGCCATTGATCCTTCGCAGACCACACACGGTATGCAATAAATAGATCTACTAAATGTACCCATTCTTCTCGTTTGAAATCAATCAGAATGAAACTTAAATCACCTTACATTTTACATTATTTATACTAAACTTCATCTCGATTACTTTCTTCAATTTGAATTCAACGTAAACTCGTTGCGTTTGTTGGCGATAGAGAGAAAAAAAGAGAGATCGTTTTGAAGGTAATAATGTGACTCTCAAGGTATAAGTCATGCAGACTTCGTCACTTTCCCAGCTTCATGGGAGAGAAGCAGTCTCCCTTAGAAGGAAGTCACGAACGGGTGGAGAGTGTCTATGCAGGTTCATTTGTCTGGAGGACACGATGGGTAGCCGTGATCGAAACCGTTTTTCGACCACGCCATCTGGCCGTATGAGAGGAAGCGAGAGACACACAAAAATTCGGCATATGCCATGGAAAAAAAGAAGGGAAGCCGTTGCCGTCATATATCATGTGGTACGAGAGGCGGACCGTACGGGAATGTCATGGGCCAATACCTGCGGCCTAGAAGGAGGGGCTTTTTCCACCTGATCACAGGAGGAGACTGGAGAAGTGGAGCTTGACCACTCTGTACCTCCTGATCCAGGTCCAGGCACTCTCTCATTATTACCCTGGGCACCTGACCATGGCAAGACGGGAGAAAGAGCCCTGATTGCGCACCCCCATAAGACTGTATGACGGTAAGCCCTTTCTCAGGAGACCCCTTTTGCCCCCTTTTCTGGGCACGCAACTTCATCATCAGCGTTCGTTCTGCTTCACCGGATTTGGGGATTCCCGTTTTAGGCGTTCAGGAATTCAACAGGAATTGCCAGTCCATTAGCGTCATTTTTATTTTTTATTTTTTTAAATGTTCTCTTCATCCGTGACCATTATTTAATTCTTGATACCTCTTGACCCGTTCACTTTGCTATATTAAAAACATTAATTTATTAACAATGAGGACAGAGCTGTGCGATACAGAGCAGAAACGGGATACTGAATTGGGAATATCACTGTTAATCCATATAATGAATGAGGGAGGCGGGGAGCACAGAAGGTGAAAGAATATAATTTTTTTCTATATCACTGGTAATTATTTTTCAGTAATTTAAAAAATTAAATCCAGTTATGGCAAGGGTTGCCACGACCCATTGACTTGGGCATGGATGGTCGGCGGCAGAAGCCGGGGGGCATGGGACGATTTATGATGATAAACAATCCTAGTTATGGGGGGGCGAATTCACAAAGCCTTAAAAGGAGAAGATTACTGATTAAGCAAGGGTTACTTTTGCAAAGGTTACTTTCATAGAACATGAGCTACAAATCTTATGGGCCCTTGAGTGGTCGGACTTATTTTTTGCTTTGTTTTTGTTTTTTGTTTGTTTGTTTTTTTTTTAAGGAAAGGGGATAAAAGTGAGCAGACCAGTAGCTAGCATTTCCCAGTTGGTGGAGCAGTTGAGAGATTTTAATGCCGTAAAATGAGGTAATCTCATCAATTTTCATTTTCTTTTCGAATTTTCTGGCTAATTCAGCTTGCTACTAGAATTTTGCAATTGGTCGTGTAGTAAAAGCTACATATTTTAAGCAATTTCTAGCAGGGTTTGCCAAAGAGGCATTAAAACAATATCAAACCTTCAAATATGGGACGTATACAATATTCACCCGTGCAAAGCCGAGTACCTCTGCTAGTAGTCTATAAATTAACAGTTTGCTGAAATGTAATGTTACCAAATACATTCCATTTCAATCCTTATCAGTATAAAGTTATGAAACTTATTAATTATGTGTTAATATACCCCTGCTAATTGATTTATAAAAATTTTTAACTAATTAACGGTATTTAAAACTTTATTGAGGTGCTATTTAATTTAAAATACTAGTACAAATAATAATTTAGTTTCAGTCTTTCATTGAGGGTTACAAAGTATACATTTATGCCTGAGAACACTACAGGAGGAACACTTGAGTCGTTTGTTCAATGTTTTGATCAACTTAACCCCAAAGAGCTCATCAGACTCACCCCAACAAGCACAAGATAGCCTAAAAATCGCATTGCAACATGAATTTCTGAATTAATGCTATTCATCAACTCAGGAGGATCCAAACATTTACTTAACATCTAAAAATTTATCGCACAATCAACTCAACTCACTTGTGCACTCACATATTTCAGCAGTTAAACTTTTGCGATTTAGCAGCTCAAGAAAACACCGCGAATTTCGCTCGTAATTCATGTCTTTTGCCGCGAATTCAGCCTTAGCTCAGTCGCTAAGCTAAATGTGCTGCCATCTATATCCGAAAATGTCACCTAACCATAGCCATTCAAATAATTTTGTATACCACTGATCAACTTCGTCCCTCTAGATCAGATTCACCTCATTTCACGGTGCCTATTCCACTTCAATGATGAGACCGATGCTTTGCATATAGGAGGGTCGGAACGAAAGTAATGTCTGTGATTTTTCCCCCCGTTCTCATGCATGAAAGGTCGGCGAAAATGACTGCGGAGACACTCATATTTTCCGCCCTTGTCGCGTCAGTTTCGTGGAGAACCATCAGTTGGTAGCACCACTACAACCTTTCAAAGTGGCTGCTGCCCTTGTGCGTGTGTGCAAAGCAGGGAATTGTTATTGAATTTCTGACTCCAGAGCGAGTACGGCCATTCATAGGCAACTAAGAAAAAGTTTATGGGACCTCTACTGTTTAAAAAAAAAAAACTGAAACAATGCATTCAAAGAGTTCGCCTAAATCTGGAGATGTCACAGATGCTGCTGCAGCACGACAACGCCCGGCCGCACACCAGCCCGTGCCCATCTGACAAATGCTTCGTTCGGATGGACTCTGCTGCCTCATCCAGCCTACAGCCTACGATCTTGCACCGTCAGACTATCAACAGTTTGTCATCTTTGAAGTGCTGTCCTCGTAAACTATCCTTAAGAGGGTCAAATGAAGTAAAGAACGCTATGTGCATATGGCTTCGAAGCCGTGATGAGAAGTTTTACCGTGACGGCATGCATGCCTTGTTGAGGGCTAGAAAGTGTATTGAACGTGACGGGAACTATGTGGGAAAATAATCGTGTATAGATTTGGACTTTATTTTTTCGTCAATTTCATAACTTTTTATTCGAAGGCTAAGGAGAGAAAATTAACAGGCATTACTTTCGTACCGACCCTCGTAGAAAAATCTCACGGCAAAGGATGTTCTACCCCAAAAGAAATTACTGCCCCCCTAGGTGGATAGGGTAGTAAGTAATTTGGGGGTGGGGGAGTGACGCTGGCTACGAGCCTGAAGGTGAGGGAGATGAGAGATGAATACATACCATGCTGGAAAGTCGGATGGCCTCGGCCTTGCTGACAGGTTCCACGTATTCCTTGGGGAAGATCCCCGAATGGCCGTTTATCACGCCGTGCAACCAGCCTGCAAGCAATCAATCAATCGATTCCATCACCACTTCAGAGAACCACGGTAGGAACACGAACGTCACTTGACCATTTTAATAAAAGATGGACTCAAATTCCCTCCCCTCACATGGAATAAGATGCCAATGATCGACGGGAGATGTCCGGTAGTAAACGCCATCAGATGATGACGGTTCGACCGACATGTGGATATCCATGATTCTACTGAATGAATGACAAGGCTTGGGAGGGAGGAAGGAAAACGAAAGGAAAGAGAGAAAGGTTGCTGTTTTCTTTCTTTTCTGAAAGAAAGGCGCTTCTAGCACGCATCGGCGCTCGAAGTACCCTTTGACGCCCAAAACTCATTTCCGACAAGCTTCCATATATTCCTCCGCCTCCCCCTTTCTTTTATTCATTTTCCCGAAATTGGTATTGCCTTGTGATAGTCCGACCTCAGGATCCACTTCTCCCACTTTGCCAGAACATTCCCAAACGAGATCCTCGTACGTACCTTTCTCGAGGTAGGTGTTCTTGTGCACGACCCGAATGACATCTCCCTTCCGGAAGGAGAGTAAAGTTGGTTCTCGGGTGATGTAGTCCGACACGGCCCTCACGAAATCTTGCGAACTCTGCAAAGAAATGTCATCCACGTTCATTCGTGCATCCAACAAAGGTGGATCCAGCCGTGACAATCAAAATGCACCATGATGGCTTCACGCTTCGAGGAAGGGAAATGTGGCCCTCCCACAAACACAAATTTTATGAGTCGACTATCGTTTCGTTCGATCGCGACCCGCATTTTCCAGCCGTTTTCGGTGCTGGAGAGAGAAGCCGGCGAGGGAGCTACATATTAGGCAAAGTTTCCATCCAGTTTCCATCCATCTTCGAAATGAATGCCTCGGGGCAGTACTCCCACTGCGAATCCTTGCTTCCACGCGGCAGGGATACCCCGCAGGAGATAAGTGAAATCATTAACTTCTCGGCACGTTCCCTACAAGCTATTCTATTGTTTCGGTATAGAAAGAAAATTTGCATTCACTGAGATTTCACTCTATTTCTCCATCCTACTCCAGTGGCTTTCAATAGGAAGGACACGCCTCCAATCTTGGTACCAGCAAAATAATTCATAATTTTTCCTTTCTTCCCTTGATTCCCACGAATGAATCCCGCCGGACTTTCATCGCGCACAGGCTAATAACATTTCTCTCCTCCACTGGCTCAACTACGTTTAGTGCGAGGGGTGTTTTATCCCTATGTATGCCTTCCTCAACATGCATGTTTCTCTTCGTAAGTCAAAGAAGCGACAGCTCAATGGCTAGTACGTGAGGCGATTGCAATGACAGGTGTCGTCATCCGAGACGCATGATGTTATGGAAGCAAGCAGAGATTGCATGCCATCACGGTATATTCTGCCTTTTACGGCATCAATCTTAGCACTCACTTCTCCATTCTTCAAGAACAGCCAGCAATAAAATTTCCCGTCGCACTAGTCCTAATTTACCCAACGAAACGGGAGAATATGGTTATTTCATTAGTCACCTAGTTTAGCCTATAATTGAGTTCATGCGCTGAGTGAATTTGGGAGGAGGTGGAGGGGGACAACACTTCTTTCTTTAAAGATTATGCCATTTCTCATTGAGAGTTTGAGAAACTTCTGTTGCTTCGTTGCTAATTTTGACACCCAGAGTAATCAATAAGGACCTGGAAGATGGAGTTGAGTTGGACCACTGGATCCAGGCCCTTGTGGACAGCCTTATACAAGGAGAGCGTAAGGCCGAGGGTCTTGTGAGTGCGGATGGCCTGATGCCATGTCTTCAACGTCACGCTAGGCTTGGCCATGACCTCCCTGACTTTGATCCTCAGCGTCCGGCCTACCTCCAGGCTGTCCACGGACATCCGAGAGGCAACGGAACGGGAACTGAGACTGGGACTGGGACTAGAGGCGGATGTCACGGTCTCGAGAGACGGGGCACGCGCGACTCGTCGTCGCACTTGTCGCAGGTCCAGCGAGGCCGCTGTCGCGGCCGCTAACACGCTGCACGCCATGACGGAGTCTTAATCCACACTGGCGGTTTCTCGATCGGCATCGAGAGGACGAGTACTTTCTCTATTTTCAGACAGTTCCACGATGGTGACGGTGCAAAGAAAGAAAACGTTTCACACGATATTATGAGACCGCAGAGGACGACACCGAGTCACTTTCATCGCGTTCCGCGCCGGCGACGATGCGAGAGTGCTATTTATGAATCCATATCGACTTAATTACGTTTGGAATAAGACGAACGAAAGAAAGAAGGACCACGCCCAAACAATGCTGAAAAAGTAGCAGGAGAGCCTCGTACGACGGACGAGACCTAGACGAAGACTGGAAACAGCGGAGTGAGACGTCCTTGGCCGTGACCAAGGAACCTGAATTCCGTTTTCCCGAATTATCATGAAAGGGAGGCGAGCAATTAGGGCTTCTCTGGAAGCCTGGCCGGGGTTCAAACACCTCGTTACGAGCACGCTCGACGAAACATTCAATTCAGCCGGCGCGATACGACGTAATAATGTACATCGTCGTCGATAACGGGCTCTGGCATTTCTGCTCCATCGAAGATGACAAAAAAGAATGAGGAAAACCGCAGAACGAAACACTGTTTTCTTCCGAGTTCTCGAGGGGGAAGGGAAAAGGGGGCGGGGATGGGGGACGGCTAGAACGGGAAGAGGAGGAGGATCATCATCGCGGTTCTCATGACCGATCTCGTGTGACTAGAAATGTAAAGCCGTACTCACCACTTACACCTCAGATCCCCCACTCACTATTTCCTTCAGTCAACCTCTTCCTTTCGTCCAGTCGCTCCCTCCAAGCCGTTGCAGCATGTGCCATGTAAGTTCTTCCTCCCCGTTACGATGGGCCTATTCTATTGCTTCGAATGGCAATAATTTACGTTCAATGTTAAGGCTTATCTTAGTATTGGCCCTCGTCTCAGTTTCACTTGACAGGTTTCGAGTCGATTTTAATTTTGACTCTCAATTTAGGGTTGATTTTAATTGTAATCGTTCCCCAGGAGGTTGACGGACTGGGTCGTCCTCGCATGGTCGGTCTTGTTCGTAACGTTTATTGAATCGTACACGGGTTGCCCGGCCGAAAATGCCCGGTCCTGCCGGGAGAAACGCCAGGTGGAGGAAGATGGTCGGATCACGTTCTGGATCCCGCTGTTTCAAACTATAGTGGGGATGCGACGGAATTCGACCGATAGGACTGTGAGCGATCCCGCCCTGGTGGAGATCACTACGACCTTCCACGACAAGGCCCGAGACGTCCTAGCCATCCTCTTATCCCCATTGTACTTCCTCGAACAAATGATGGAGATCCTGTTCAGCCCCGTGCTCCAAAGCCTCGCCGCCTTCCTCACCCCTGTGAGCCTGCTCAACACCGTTCTGAAAGGAGGATTCAGGCTCCTGTCCAACTTGGTGAGCACCCTGGACGGGTTGGTTGTCCTGGAGCCACCCGCGTTCCTTGCCACGTATGGTACCCTCACCACCATCCTTGGATGGATCCTTTTCCGATGGCCTCTTCACGTCTTTCTCGAGGGTGAGTCCGCGTTTCTCAATAAATATTCCTGTCGCTACGCTCAACTCTAGCTATCACCAACAGAATATGCTTGGAATTACTACTACCGGATATATTTATCCTTGCTGGGGTATATCGTCAGTGCAACGTTTAGCCAGGTTTCACAAGTGAATGGTCTGAAATTTTGGTTGAAACTATCCGATCACCTCGATCTTTTCCTTTTGTCGAATTCACGCATTACGAACGTGTATCATGAATGGATGCAAAAAAATATTCCATATTTTCTGGAAAGGTATGAAATTAAAATGAAGAAAGAAACGCTAGAGTTAGCAGGTCTTCCCCAGGCCAACAGTTTCCTTCTATGGTAATGCAAATCGACCTACATCGATACGGAGGATAGCAATCAAGTTCTGTTATGATCGCGTGTGTTCTGCACCACGTAGTCTGTCATGCTCACATACTATCAACGTTTTTTTTTCTATCTCTCTCTAGAGGTGCTATTGACTCCATTGGGATTGGCAGGATGAACGGCGTCAGAATGATGTGAATCCCTCGAGCCATCCATCCGTGCGACAACCAGCCAGTCCCTGTGATCTCTTCTCACGCAATCCTTCCTCCTTACAATAAAGACTTTATCCATCCATTCCCAATAGACTTGTTTATACCTCACGAGTCATGGACACTAGCATTCATGATGACGCACGTTTATTAGCTCCTACCTTCAAGGAACTACTGGACCGTTTCCGTGCCATGCGTTCGCTGCATCCTTTGATAAGAAAAAAAGCGGAACCATGCAGAAGGCCAGATTTATCAGAGCTGAGCAAGTGAAAAAAAGGATATTCATTGAGCCATCACGACCCCTTATTTTTCCGGAAATCTCCTGAAATCGTTGCAGATTTTAAAATTTTCATCTCTTGTCCACGTCTACCGATATTGGAAGAAAATGAACTGAGACACTGCATGGAGGAAAATGACTCCAAATCGTTTCAAAAAGTTATGAAATAAAAAAGTTCCATGGATCTTTTCATCAGCAGATTTTCCTAGCGCTTTGTTTCACTTTAGGAAATGATAATTTTTTTTCCCTGACTTGCAGTCAGAATACGGAAAGTTTTTTTTTTCAGTCTCCCTCCTGCCCTCCCTTTTCTCCAAAATAGGCCAGACGCTTGGCCGGCAAGGTAATATCTCTGCAGTTTCAATAGTGAGAATCATCATTTGAGTGTTGACCTACTGCTGGTTCTTCAGTTTTTCTTTTAAAAATTAATTTGTTTGTCCCTTTCTCACAAAATGTACGTGTGTCAAAGGCGTTATCCAAGAATTCGCAATGACATAATGAAAAAAAAGTGACAATCAGAAGTACAGTGCTTATGTGGGTTTGATGATATTGGAAGAAAAAATTGACCGATTAAGGCCTCACAATTAGCTTACCTACATTGGGTGGGAAAAATCCCCTCCATAACGACCATATGTATATACCAAACTTAAACGTCCCTATTCTAGCCGCAATTCGCAGATTTCACTGTAAAAAATAAGTAAATGTTCACTGGAGAAGGAGTCTGCCATGTTTAGCAGTTCAGGGATAAAAAAAAAGTAGGTAGGGTAAACGAGGCAAATTAAGAAAGAATGCTGTTCCACATTCATCTTCATCGTTAAGGCTTGAAGCCTTAACGATGGCAATTCAAGGCAACAAGCCTTCCACTCTTTCTCATGCTTATGGCATCGGAATGATATCCTTTTACGCATGATGACCATTATCCCGGTTCTCACGTCATTTTTTGAAGTTGTATGTAAGCATGCACCGACACGACTTTCAGAGTAATTGTCCCGTGGGCTCCAAGACAACGGGAACATCTCTCTCATGCAGAAAAGTTTTAATGACTCGTGATTATTGATTACTCTCATTCATTCTTCCAAGCTGTGTGTTTTCTTTCTGGAGTGGGTCCCTCGATCTTAGTTTTGAACGAGAAGGGCCTCACCGTGACCTCACCGTATTCGTGACATACAAGTACGACAAGATTTACATCAATCCATTCCAAGTCGAGTCCTTGTGCTTTCTCTGGATGCTTTCATGAGTGTAGTCAGTGTCTCACGAGTTCAAAGTTCCTTACGTCTAAATTCACCTTGTCGGAGATACTAGTTCCAGTAGCGTGAAAACCAAATACAGTGTCGCAATAAATTTTCACGCCGATATAAATTTCGCGATCTTGACCATCCCGTATTTACCCGTATAGATCATTCGCGGATGTTTTGGACTGCGACGTCTTGTTCTCCTCCCTTCGCTCCACAGGAGTACGAAGGGGTAGTCTCAAGAGTTATCGAGGGCAGATCTGGAATCCCGTTTATATAAATGTTTCCACCTCCACCCATCTCCAGGAGCACGGTGCCCCTGTCTCAAATAATTGAGAGCGACCGAACTTCGTCATGTCGTCGCTTTGACACTTTAGCTACCCCTTTGCTCACCAAAGGAGAGAATGGAAGAATGGATCGTAATTGCTACTGGTAAAACAACGAAATGCAGAAAGTAAAGTCTTACTGTTATGTTTCAACTACAGCTTTTCCTGGGAGAACGCAGTACTGGGATTTCAGAGCGACTCGGCAGACACCTCGCACAGTCATCGGGTTGCCCGGAGGCGCAAATCACAGCAGGAGGGAGGGACGCTGAATGCCAATAACTGTAAACTGGTCAACTTGAAAGATCCTTTTAAGAAAACCTAAAAAGAAAAGCTCGAAAAAGAGCTCCTCTTGTAATGCCTTGGGCAGCGTTGCATCGGCGATGGCGGAGGGTCAAATAAAAAATTTCGCGAACGATTTAATTTCGCGATTTCCCTGCCTCGCAAATTTCGCGAAAACAAAATGGGCAAGACAATTTCTCGCTACACTGTAATTTTTGGCTGTATTTTTATGGACTATACACTCACCCTGTCGGCTTCATCGGAGAAGTCCTGGATCATGCGAGCTATCTGACCAGCCCGGTGAGAGTACAACCCGATCCGGGATCCACCACGCAGGGTGATTTGAAGAAGTGAGCTTCGAGGTGATATCACTTCCTCCAGGTCTTCCCACCTGCAATCACAAATCTTCAAGGTATCACCTTCAGGTCTGGCCATGGCGGATTGAATGACATGGTGAAAGTGTATTGTGTGGTCAAGAAAGAATGCATGGCTAGGGAAGTGAAGCATTGAGGAGCCATCAAATACAACCAGAACTAATTTTCAGGATCCTGAATGGCCAGCCATGCACATGACACACTTAATGAAAGATGAATTGCTAATGTGTAAATGATTTATAATGGGAGTTGCCAAAAATATCCCCAAGTTTGACCACCCGCACAATAGAAATTTATCTAGAATCTATCCATGCTCTCTCATGGCATTTTTCAATGCCAAACGGAAAAATGTGAGATTCATTGACACAATCCTAGTTTGTATATCGTCATGGACCACCCTGAATATGATAAGTTTGTCGTTATACCAGATCTGAACCCATCATTTATTGCTGGGAAGCCACATGTAGTTCCTACAAGGTTGGTTGATCAAGGAGTGAAAACCAGCACATAGCTGTTCTGTTCCATTTCATATCGCTCCAAGTTCGTTTTTTTTTTTTGGTCTCAGTTGTGCTGTGCCATCTCGTCATGCATTATTGCTTTAAGTGCCCATGTTCAATCAAATGCAGTAAAGCACATCATTTTCGAAGAGTCAGTTACGCTTTGTGATTCATCTAAATCAATTTCGTTTCCCAGCCAGTCTCATTAACGACTTAATCAAGTATCTTAGTCAAATTTCATAGTCATTTTGGTTCTCGTCCTAAGAAGATATTAAGATATTAATAGATATCAAGTTTTGTCTCAAATTTTAGGCTGAAAATATGAAGTCACATTTTTACCAGAGTTAAACAATGTGAAGACCTTTCTTTAAACACATGTTTTCTCATTTATTTAGCTTTTCCATGCCACACTTTGGGCTGGAGATAGCAGATGACATATACAGGGTGAGTCAAAAGCCACTGGACAACTTTGAACAGCTATAACTTAGCAAGGAAGACATTAATTTGCAAACTTTTTTGCATATGAAAAGCGTGCGCTAATCGACGAAAAAAAAAACATATAAATAAGCATGAAATACTAGAAAGAAATGGGATAAGCCTGCACAAAACGAAAAGCAAAAATTTTCAACAAAAAAGTGATATTTAGGGTACAACGGACATTCGCGGTTATTTTCTGTTAATTTTTGCCGCTCAAAATGGTTTTCTGATAATTGTCGATAATTGATGAACATTCTCTGGGGGAACGCGTCGACATCGTTAATTTCTTCTCCATCTGCGAAGGAAATCTTTCCGAAGTGAAGCGTCGTTTTGCTTTGAAGGCAGGTGGATAGGCCGAGTCGGGCCTATCGAATGGCCTCCCAGGTCGCCGGACCTGCCTCCACTCGACTTCTGACTGTGGGGTTTCATTTAAAGACCAGGTAGGTTAAGTGCAGCGAATGTCGACACTGGGGGTAATCTCGGCACTTTGCAATCGTCAAATTCTGCTTCCACTACTAGTCCCCTAAGCACGGATAAATAAGTATTCTCAGATGGTAGGACTAGTGTTGTTAACATGTTATTGGGACAGTCATATTTGCCGTTGTAGTTTTCTCGCAGTGGCCACTTTCTCTAAGCGCACTCCGAAAATCCTGCGAAACCTTGTGATTTTTCAAAGCTTTTGCTAATTCCGTTCTTCTCTTCCACACTAGGTATTGTTTTATCAGGTCGTTGCATTCATTTTTGAGCCCGTTGTAAACGATAGTGATACACAAATGTGCTGAGATTCCCGACAGGGTGGTGCCTGTCTATATTAGCAAGTGTGCCGAGATTGCCAACATCTGACCCAACTTCACCTTTCACCTCGGAAATGAAAGGCCTGGGGCACTCGAGGTTTTGCGGTACAAGAAGGTTTATAATAAAGGTATTACCAGACCCAATACGAACGAGGAAGCTCCATTACAAAAACCAGCAGGCAAGGTGAAAGTGAAGAATTTGCTTAGAGTGCCGACATTCGCAGCACTCACCCTATATGCCGAAATTTCGCACACGATCAATGAACTGAGGCAAAGCATTACTGAGAAGATTGCAGGAGTTGCCTTTCGGTGACGGCACGAGTGAACGAGGTTGAGGGTGCTCGATATCATGACCAGTAATTACAGTCATTTTTATTTCAAATAAGTCAAATTATTTTTTTAAACGGTGCATATTCGTTAATTAGCGCACGCTCCTTCCTATGCAAAAAACCGTTTGCAAATTGCGGCCTTCCTTGCCGAGTTATAGCTGTTCAAAGTTGTTCAATGACTTTTGACTCACCCTGTACTCGTATTTATCCCTTAGACAAATTCTTATAAGGAAACTGACTGAATGGATGCAAGAAAACATCCCATGTGATAAAATTCGCAGATGCTACATAATGTTCAAAAAGTTGCAATTACTTTCAGATCTATCTGATTTTCATGCATGGAATAAAAATTGTATTCATTTTTGTCCAAAGGGTTCAGGTATTCATCATTTAATTCAACCTCAGGTTGTTAAAGAAAATGCAGACAGCTCAGTTGGGGAAGCTTTTTCATCCCAATATTGATTCATGAAAAAACATTGATAGAATATAGATTTTAGGTTCCTAACCATGCTCATCATAAAAAGTTTTCCCTTCCTATTTTTATATTATAATTAAAAAAAAAAGAGCCAGTGGCATTCATGGATAATGCAAGAATGACGAACTCACATAAAAGTGTCAACCACTCGCAGACCATCATTGGGAGCCCTGAAGTCCCTTTGCACCAGCCGCACACCCGAATGGGCGACGGCAAGCAGCTGTACGTCGCTATACTGCCGCCCCCCCTGTGGAGTACATACGTCGATGTGATTCAAAAATCATATTTGCCAAAATGGTAACATCCAGGTGTCACTCACTGTGACAGGGAAGAGCCTGGCAAAATAGCAGGGCCATTCTTTGGCTGTGTTGATGATATTCTTCTTGATGGAGGACTTGCAGGGAGACTGGATGTTGGCCAGAGTGATGCCATAATTGTCAAGAAGCTGCTTCATCTGAAGTCGTTCAACCTTAGAGATGCGGGCGCAAGGGGGAGTCGAGATCAAAGTGTCCCATACAACTTGACTGAAGATCAAATGAAGGGCCAGTGGATTCGACTGCACCTCTTTTGGCGAAAACACCTAATAGATATGCATTCAAGTTCTTAGCATGTCCACTCAAACGCAATGAATAAGATTTTTTTTTTATTTTTATGTTGAACCAGAACTGCTGTTGCACCATGGAGAAAGTATATATAGATCCTGAGTAGACTCCACAATATTTCACCATGCCCAGATAGGATTGTAAATAGGGAGCTGCATATCCAACCTAATTAACTTCCACCATGTTTATTAAATTAGAATAGTTCACTTCCAACATAATATGCAGTTATACATTTATTTTCATTCCTCTCACTTCTCTAATTGTATTTCTTATGAGCATTCCAAAAATTACCCTTGGTCAGTGTTGCCTAGTTCAATTCTTAGGTATTCAGATTCAGGAAGCCACTTAAGCTGTCCTGGGAATTTAAGTTCTTGATACAATGGACCATTGTTTTTCTGGCAAAAATCTAATAGTTGGGTGTAGTGAGATAGGAAGTTAAGAGATGTCTTAATTTGGGAAAATAACTAATGATCTTGATGCTGGAGCTTTGATGATAGACCAGAAAATAAAAATCTGTTTCAACTCCCACAGGAAACTGTGGGCACTTAAGAAGCAAATAATCCTACAGAAGGACAGGGCTGCTTCTCATGCCCCAATTACCTCCTTTCAATGGTTTTTGCAAAAGTCTATGAAATTTGATATCTATGAGGCTGGATATCCTTTCAAAACTCAAAGTTTTCCTTGATCTGAACTAATTAAAAAGAAAAATTCATTTCTGGAATTTTCAAAAGCTGTCAAAAGTATACATGCACTAACCTCTTTCCGGATGTGTATCTTCCAAGGTACTCGAGTGTAAGTTAGGTGTGGAGCCATGTTGGGTGGGTAGAGCTTTGTCTTCATGCTCTCCAGTGTCCGTGTGGCAAAATCGTCATCAAGGATCACTGGTGTGGTATCAATGGGATTCAAGAATCCAGGTGACTCCTCCACTGCAGAGTAAACACATGTCATTTACCAGAGTCCTCTACAGTTCAATATTGAAATCACATCAGTTGCCACTCACACTCAATACGATCAGATCTTTGGGTTGAGGAAGAGGCCTTTCGTTCCCGGAGAAGTCTCTCAGATGAATCTTGTCTTAGGCGGGAGGGCAAGTGATCTCCATTTGGAAGACTGTGGGAAGAAAATTAACTACATATTTAAATGAATCCATGGACACTGTCAGATTCCACGTTTCTGAATTGAAGTCTCACCCATTCTGAGCATAATAACCCCCACTCTGTTGGTCAGGATACCCAACATCAACTGTGAGTGGGATGAGAGGTGGCTGAGGAGGAGTTGGTCGCCTCATTCGCTCTTCACTTGATGGTACTATCCTCTTCTGCATGCCAATACGGCTCTCAATCACTTCCCGTTGAGAGTCCAGCACTCCACCTTCAAGCAATGGAGTCCATGAAGCACACCTGCATTGAAACCTGTGAAACATACCATAAGGGCCAGATGTCTTACCAAGCTGCTGCTGAAGATGAAGCTTCCTTTGTTCTTCTAGTTTTTTCACAACTCGATCCTTTGTGTCTTGCTCTGACTTCATTGATGACCTAAATGTGGAGGTATGAGCTTAATATGAATTTTGTCAATTGAAAACATATTATAGGCTTGAGGATCAAGCAGGCACCTGTTGCTTCGATTGCCATGAATCTCTTCCAATTTTGTCTTCATTTCATGGCTGATTTGGAGCTTGCCAATGCCATTGCTAATGTTTCTCTGTTGCAGTTCCTATCACATAAAAGAAAGGAATTCGCTCAAAAAATTTTTTCTGAAGTAAACTGGCTTTAGAATCATACTGAGCATGACCATACAGGATCGTCTTGTGCAATTCCTCTGTGCTCTCTGCTTTTTTCACCTGGTAGATCAAACTCTTCCCATTCCATACTACTGTTGATGTTGTTTGGAGAGTCCTATAAAAATGTACATCAATATGATGGATGGTCTCTTTACACATAGTTGAAGCATTAGAGAGATACAGCATAAAATACATACCTTTTGACCGAGAATTTTTTTATGCTGTTGGCGTATCTTGAATTGAAGGAAGGAGTCAGTCGTATCCTCTGCGTCAGAGCGGGGCGGAGGCCACCGCCACTTACCAATTCTTACAGTTTTGGCTCTTCCATAAGGATCAAAGAATGGACGGGGTTCAGTTGGGTCTCTTGGTGTGGGTGGATTTGGGGGTGGTGGTGGAGGTGGAGGGGGTGGAGCGAAAGCAGGGCGCACACCTGAAGGCTGAAGGAAGAAAAGCCATGTTTTTCAATCAAGCATGATAGGTTTTGACCTACAAAACACTTTTTTTTTTTAATACCTTTGGAGGAGTTGGAGTCCCATCAACAGAACTCTTTCTCTTGAGTTCATTGAGCACATTCCCAAATGCAGACTGTGGGCTTTGGAGTTCCTGATTTTTCCTCACTATAGGTGTTGATGTACTGTAATCCTTCACAGGAGGAGAGAAACCCAGCTTCTCTTCTCCACTCTGTTGCACCTGGACTGACTGGGAAGTAGGAGTTCTTGGGGCATGTTGAGGCGTTTGAGCATTGGGAGCTGCTTTCTGCTGCCCAGTCCAGATGTCTGACTGAGACTCTTGCTCTTGGAATGACACCTGAAAGAGCCATAAATGGTGAGTAATCCCCTTTCAAGTCAATTAAAATGGATGAGTGAACACAAATGTGAAGGCCAGCTTCACAATGATGGGATTGCAGAGCGTGCAATGACCATAGTAATACTTTTATCGTATATACCAATATGGGAAGAGAAAAAAACTGAAGGGAAAGAGACAGGCAGAGATCCATACCCGACTCCCTGTCTGAGTTTTGGAAGACAGAAGAGATGAGGATCCAGAGATGAAGTAAAACTAGGTAGAAGAGATGAAAATTCATCATGCAATACAAATGCAAACCAGTATAAAGGAAGAAATACATGCTGGATGGGTTACATAGTCAGCAAAAAATTTTATTCAAGAGCAGAACTCACCGACTGTTGAAGGAGCTGCTGCAATGCCTGATTTTGTGCTAGGAGCTGCTGCTGAATCTGCAGATTCTGAGTGAGTGCAGACTGAAGGAAAGCTCTCTGGAGATTCTGCTGGAAAGCTTGTAGCTGAGCAATGTCTACAGTCTGTGTGGAGCTGAGATTCCCAGATGGAGTTGAGGCTGCAGGTTGTAGCAGGGGGACATTAGGAAGGCTGAAGCCTGCTGAAAAATACATAGTACCAATATTCACAATCTCACAGCTGCAGATAGGGAGGAAAAATATTATAGCAGGAATGATAGGCAAAGGAAATAACAGGTATGTCATGAGTTTGTCCAAGTCAAGTGGGTTGAGTCAGGTGAGACCAAGGTTAGGAGAGGTGGTTTTGGGGTGAGCCCAGGTTAGGGCCCTTGTATACAGCAAAATTTTCTGCTTAATAAGAGCTATAGTCTGGGGAAATTTGATGCCATGATTTTCTCAAAGAAAAGGCAAAAGAGAAGGTCTAGGATTTCACTCAAAGAAAAGATTGAGAAGAAAATCTATTGCTTGCATATAAGGGCCCACAGGCAGAGGTTAAGACGAACCTTGAGCATTGTAAATGGGGAGGTAGGTGACCATCAGTGGGGGAGAGGTAGGACCAGCTTGTGATGAGCCAAACATGACTGGAGAGGCGAGCCCAGTTGGTGACAATGGGGTGTGCCCAAGACCTGGGGTCCCCGCTGCAAATGTGAGTCCCGCCATCGCTATCGTAGATATAGCCCAGTCTCCACGTTCAGTCAGGTCCAAGTCCAGTCAGGGTGCTCTTTGTGCTGCACTCATTTGATACTTACCTTGAGGATTGTAGAGGGGGATGGACCCAAGATTGGGGATGAGCATGGGTGGGGGAGACATCATGACAGGAGGGGGTGATGTCATCCCTGAGATTGGCTGGAATGTCATTGTCCCTGGTCCAGCTGATAAGGGCATTCCACCACTGCCTCCTGTCACACCTCCAGCCTTCACATAAAACGGAACAGCATTAGCATGCATCTCCAAGAGAAGCAGAAGCAGACACCAATATCCAAGCCTAATTAATTAGCATAAACAGCACATCATGGATGAAACAAGAAAGCATAAGAATTTTTAACTTAACAATGTCTTCTTAGATGGTTGGATAGTTGGAGGATGCATCTCTGCTCTTCACAATGCTATTAAAGGAACTTTTAAAAATGCTATGCATTTCTTTGAACTCATCTATGATCATTTTTCTCAGTATTGAATTGAACACAACACAAAATCGTCATGTCAAAAAAAGTACACCTATATTTTCACCATATCAAATTTTCTACAAACACTGACCTTATCACCAACCAGTACATGCATATTTGGATGGTTAAGAACTGGGCTTCTTATGCCTATTAAAAAAAGCAGAAGACAGCACCTGTGAGTCGATTCCTGTGATGCCTTTGCCACCCCCTTTGATGGCAGATGCAAGGAGATGTGCATTTGTCAGTTGATCCAATGACTGATTTACCAGAATTGGCTGAAACAGGTCCATCAGGTATTCATCGACTGTGCTTGTTTCGGCACTGGCTTGCCGTAATATTGAATGCCGTTCCACTGAGTCCAGCTCAGGCCTACGAGAACAGCAACTTCAAATTCAGAAGGCAACAAACTGAGCCATAAATTTGTTTGAAAATGATGACTCACCCTCTCTGTGTAAGTTTTGCAACTTCTTCATCTTCTTTGTTGCCTCCTCCTTTGATGGATGCAGCAAGGGATCGGGCATCAGATAACTCATCCAGATTCCCATCCAAGACGGGCATGAACAAATCGTCCAAGAATTGGTCCACATCTGAAGCTTGTGATGGCACTCTGACTCGTCTCACATGAGAAGCTGGAAATGTTAAGATGACACTTTATTAAAAGTCTTATCATCAGGCAGGCACCCAGAAGATGTAAGTTTTATTCACCTAGGGAAGGGGTTTCACTAGTATCTGAGAGTGCAGAAGACCTCATGCCATAAGTATCAGTCTTTTCAGAATAACGGGTCTCAATCTGAGCTCGACTGGAATGACTGGCAGCTGGTGGTGGGTAACGCCTTCCTGCATACTGAGACTTCACATACCTGCAGCAGAACATGAAACAACTCGGCATAGTAAGCAGTTCAACGTGTGGTTTTTTCCTAATTCAAACCAAGCCAAAAGATTGACCTGGAGGATATGCGACTGTATTCTCCCTTCTGATCATCCTGTCGAGTGGATACCATCTCAACAAAGTCCAGGGCAGAAAACTCTGATGCTGAAGGAGGCCTTCCAGGCCCAAGGAGCTGCTCTTGAGATCTTCTTCTTCCACTACCATATGTTTTCTTGTGTTATTGGATGATGATGATCCTCTTCAAAAATTGATTTAGAAATTTGCAAATCCTTACCCAAGTTGAGCCCCTCCATCCAGGCTTGGACGCCGACTATTGGGTTTTGATGAATCTCGGGATCCCATGCGACGAGAAAGTTTTTCATCTCGACTGAATTCACTGCCAGCTTCAGATACTCTGTCAATGGGAGCTTCTCCAACAGCAAAATACCTGCAAAGAGATATGTAGATGTGATAAATCAAGTCTCTGTGCTAAGCATCTGTAGAGCTGAATGTGTGACATAGGACACGGAACCTTTCATTGAGTGCACTCTTTGCGAGAGGAAGTGGCTGCCATTGGGCATCTCGACCTCGATCAGGTGCAATTTGATCCATGCTGTGATAGCGTTCATTCAAACGACTCATAGCAAGACCCAAGCTGTCACCCAGTCCTGGGTCTCTTGTCACAGGCTCAGCATCCTAAAAAAAAGGCCACAGATTTCCCTATTATAATTCAGGCTCAACATGAACACAATTGCATGGGAAATGCTGAGTGCCAATGTCCCCATTAGAATCTGGATCTGGAACTGTTTGTCCAATACTATGCAAATATGAAAAAATGAACAAATACTTACAAGGGCATCAAGGCTCTTGCTCCGGTTTCGGCTGCTCTGATCCTCAAAGTATCTGTCGTTAAGAGCTGAAGTGCGAGACAGGCCAGCACCTGGTGACAACTGCTCTCGGGATCGTGACTTGAGGAAATGCTCCCTGGAGAATCTCTTTCCAGGCTGGAATGGATCACCATTGACAGAAGCTTTGAGATCATCTCGTGCATTGACTAACTACCTTATATGTTCTTCAAGATGTCCAGAAGATTTGAAATGAGCAATGACACCCTGATACATGAGGGAAAATATTATTCTATCCCATGTTTTTCTTACATCACTATTTCTATTGATTGAACTTACAGGTCCCCTTGTTGGGATATCGGATGGAGATGGGATGTGCTCTGGCAGAGTGGACATTGGCATCCCATAGTCATCCACATGGCTGCTCCCAGTGGAAGAAAAGCTTCCCTGGAAGAAAATGATTGCAAATTTTCAATCCCATCTCTAGTCAAAGATGAACAAATGTTCAAGTTGGTCAGACCTTGCGAAATGGGGAACCACCATGGTCCCGACTGGAGGATAGGAGATAAAACCCTTTGCAGACAGGGAATGCAGGGGGAATCTCCATTTCAGAAATGAGGTCTAAGACATAATCACAGCCATTAAGCTCATATATGTTGTGAGCATCCATGATGCTCACACTCCAGCCAAATGGCTCCTTCAGGCCCTTCTGTCTCACAAGTGTACCAGCAAATTCCTCTCCTGTTGTCCATGAATCCACTGGACCATACCAGGTCTCACCTGTGAAAGACATGATATTCTGAACTAATATGTAACTTCACAAAGGTTAGAAATACTCTTTATCTTGGCCTTTCTTCATTTTTAAAAGCATGGCCTGTTGTGGATACTGTCAATACTTTTTGGATGAAAGCATGGGTCCCCATTTAAATGAAGTAAGGACAAGGTTCAACTTTGCTTAATGCACTTCAATGGAGGAATCTCACTTCAATTTATGAACTTCTCTAAAATCCTGAAAGCAAGCTCTTTAAAATACAAGGTTAGTATATGTTATTGTGCAGCTCCTGATAGCAATGTACATTTCCACAAATTTTGTTCTCACTCTGGGAGTTGCTGAACCATCACTCAATGACATCAGGAACCCTGCATCCTCAAAATATGAATTGTTGGTGATTGTCTCTGACTTTCCACATTTGTGTCCACTAGGTGTTTCAACATTAAATCATAGACATAGTTTTTTGGTGAATTTCATCCAAAAGCCAACTTTTCCTGCCTTCAAACTTATCAGTTGTTCATGAGGGTACCCTATAGGCTTCCCCTCCCTAAACTTCTGCACGTGCCACCGTTTCCATTATATGGAGAGTTGATATGAAGTTGAGTTTTAAAGACACAAAACAATCAGCTCAATCACATTACAATGGTGAGTACATAATCTCCCACTGCAAATTCTCTTGCTCATCCAATCATCATAGAGATTATTTGAGAAAAACTGCTCATTGGATTTAAAAGACATTAGCTTTCATACCAGAGTGAAAAAAGACAGAAAAAGAATGGAACTTGTACTGACCATCAGAGAAGACAGCTTCAAGGGCCATGTTGGCTTTCTTGCGATTGGCTCTCCATTCCAGGAGACAAGGAGGATAAGTTCGAGCCAATTGAGCCTCCAAGCGTGCACTTTGAAGCAATTTCTTCTGACACAGAACCTTGTATCCATTATATGCATGATCAGAGACATACCTGCAGAATATAACTTCCATGTAGGTCACATTGCATTTCTTCATAGAACTAAGGAATGGTGCTGCACATACTTGAGCATATATTTGAAGAGGAAGTGAGAAGGTGCAAAGCATGATAATGCATTGGCCATCAAAAGCCAACCTCTCTCACAGTTTCCTTCATTCTCATTCTTCCACGTCTGATTGCAAAGCTGGCACAGAAGTTCATCCCGCAGCTTCTCATTGAGCAACGCCTAAAGAAAAAGCAATTTATTAATGGTGGGAAAACTGAGAAATATTAGAAGCTTGAAGTAAAAACAAGTGCACCCATTTAAAGTTATTGAGATACAGTATATGAAAACAAATTTTCTCAACACTTATGACTTTTAAAGCCTGCAGAGCAAGCAGAAATGCCCCTTCTGTATGAATCAATACAGAGAGAGACCCCTCACCCTCCTATTATAATTACACAAAAGAACTTGAGGACAGAAAGGAAACAAGATGTAAGGGAGAATGATGGATGCAGAGGAGGGAAGTCCCAGCAACTCATGATTGCCATAATGGGGAACAAGGGCATTTTTGACCATAACCACTCCCACCTACTAGTGAAGCAAAATGCTCTCAGTCATGTAGGCAGTGTGCAATGTCAGTAGCTAGATACCTCAAAATGGACTTTTCAGTGGGTTAGCATCTTTTTAAAATGCCCCCTTAGATTCTTTACCTTGTTGACAATGTAATCTCCAAGGACACTCTCCCTCTTTCCACTGAGGTTGGAGTCATTCATGAAGCGTAGAATGAGCTTGAAGAGGGCCAAGGACTCTTGGTAATCAGAATCCTTGGACTTTGATAAAAATGGGGTCTTGATAGGTTCTCGTTTCATCCCCCAAAGATGTGCCTAAGAATAAAGAAACAAAATACATCTCATTCATTCAAGCAGAAAATGGATGAGTAAATAAAGTCATTTAATTAGTTAAATAAAAATGAATCCAAGAGGCAAAATAAAGTCAATATATGAATATATATATCATCCAAAGAAAGTCAAAGTTAGCAGGCTGTCTTGAATATGAAACAGATTACCATACAAACTAACCTTGAAGTACACATTTGCAAACTTGGAGAAGGCATAATAGTCTATGTCATTGGGCAGGTGGTATGCTTCATCCTTTTTGGGAATATGGCCGATCACCTTCATTATATTCCGTTCATGGTGCACTGGTTGCCATTCTGCAGAAACCATGAGAGTCTCAGTACTGCATGCCATCAGGTTTTACAGTGAAGACAATATATGTATGTTGTGGGTTTTATGGAATTCATGGGGATTCAGAATCTTCCTAGTTGAATTACAGAATTTCAATAAACCTAGAGAAATAATCTCAAAATGCTTCCATTGTACTGCTTCCCACTAGGGAGGTTCCAAATCACCTGGTTTTGCTGCCTCTGCTTTCATCCTCTCTTTACTCCTTTGCAGGGAAACTGAATCACCAAGGTACTTGGGTAAAATGCAATATTGTATATCAGTTTATGCATTTTTAGAGTAAAGCAGTCAATAAAACATGAAGTGTTATTGAATGAAAAGTCAATTAACAATAAAAAGTTTGATCTTTCATTAGGGGAAGTGGCAGTGGTTCCATATAACAACTTTCTGCAAGTGCAGATGGATCCTGCATACCCACTTATGTAGCTTCTTTCTGCTTATAAAGTATTCAAGGACACTGAGACATCATTAGACACCTTGACATGTTGTTCAGCATATTCTGACAGTATGGTTATCAATAGAGTTTACAAAATGAGGATAAGAATGGGACACAAAAAACTGCATACAAAAGTAGCCAAAACTAAATATCCATTCCAGCACTATGAACAACATCCTGTCACCCCATTCCCATCCCACAAATGGGATTTGATGACTTCTCCCTTTGTGGATGTCAACACGGCCTTCTACATACATCTTTCTTCAGTAGAGGCAGGCAGTACCCAGGGGTGGCACTCCTCATCCTTCAGCAAGTTTTTCATACACAGGAGAATTGCATGCAATTAGGCAAGTCAAGCCATGGGAAGGAGAATGTCCGAGTCAGGAGGATATAGAATCTTCCTGAACCAACATCCACATGACATTAAGATGATTTTGCTAAACCCAAGGGTTTATCTAAATTTCTGTCTCCCTCTAGGATGATTCCAAATCCCTCTAAAATTCAAATAAACCCCACGACATATGCAACTTCTGTGAGATGGTCTCACCATCCAGTTTGCTGAATATGAAAGCCAGTTCAGCTGGGATGTCAATGTGATTGACCCCTGTCACTGCACGGGCAACCCGATCTGCTTCTTCCTTGGCAGAACGGGCCTTTGTCCTCTGCCGAGCAAGTTTTTCCACTTCCAGCCGACGTTTCATCTCGTCCTAGTGGAAAAAAGGAGCTAGCAATCATCTACTGCATGAAAAATATATATGTAAAATGTATTTCAGGCAAGGTCTCTGACCTTCATGTGCGTGAAGCGTCTCTTCTGTCGGATCATGCGAAAGTTAGCCTGAGCTCTCACGATTCCTCGACGGAGTTTGAGATACTTGTGCCTGTGCATAGCCATTCGGAACTGCTTTTGAATGCGTATGGCCGCCTCTCTCTGAGTCAGGTACCGCTTGTGAGCCAGTTTTCCCTTGACAAAACGCTGGATTTCTACTGCAGCCTTGTGAAGGATATCTGCTCTCTCCTTCTCGAGCTGCCTTTCCATTTCCTCTTTCAAGAACACCTGAACAAGACAAACTTTAGACTGAAGAGGTCCATCTACTTCGCTAAATCCAAACAGTATTACTGCTTGAAAACGAATGTCACACCCCTAACTGCTCAGTGATGACACTTTCCCTTTAACCCTTTTAGTGCCGCGCGGCCGATTTTTCGGCCACGTCTAATACTTCCAAAAACGCTGTAGGCCGATTCTTATGCTATCTAACAAGAACCCCAACTACAAGAAAGAAGAAACCTAACGAAAAGCCATGGCCGAAAAATCGGCCTATGGCATTTTTAGCAGTAGTATACGTGGTCGAAAAATTGACTGCACGGCACTAAAAGGGTTAAAGACCACTGAGAATAGGGAAGAGATTGCCACTAAATTGTACCAAAAGATAATCTTGATTCTCCATTACAGGCTCAGGAACTCTTCCTGGTTGTTTTTTCCCCACCTCTAATCCAGTGGAAAGCATGCATGCATTATGCCAGGAGCATTAGGAATATCTGGTTTGAAACAATTAACAAGCCAACAATGTTTCTTTGAAGCAGTATTAAATATTACAAATGAATTTTATACCTTGTGAGTCCCCAGCTGACACATGTCCCTGACCCGAGGAATCCGATCCAACACCAGCTGGGTGATTTCTCTCGGTGGTATACCCCTGGGAAGGTGCTCAGGGATCAGACATCGGTAACGTTCAGAAAACTGGCCAAATTTCATCCGGACAGGGTATCCGAGCTTGCGGATCCGGATCGTCTCGAGCATCCCAGTGTACCGGAGCTGCTCCAGGACCACTGGCATGTCAAATTTCATCGGGGCTTTCTCGTTGTTGGGCTTGATGCAGCGGACAAACCAGGGATTGCACCTATCAAAAGAAAAAGTGAGACATCAGCACTTTTCTCCATCGTGTTCCATATCGACCTTATTGCTGCCATTCAATGAGATGAAAACACATGCAAGTCATTACATATGTGCTAAAATTTCAAGAGGAACATACTTGGACATGGAGTCGAGCAGAGACGCAAGGGAGTCCTGGAATCGAGCCGCAACGGTCGGAGTCCTCGGCTTCATGGTTACAAATCGACCGTTTGCTTTACTGGTCGTCTTGGACGCTTCGGTCGTCTGCCGCACCTCGCGGAACATCTTGGACACCATCTGCATGCAAAAGGCACCATTATGCTCTTAATCATCGGGGTGCTTAACGTTAAATTTTGTCAGCGGTTTTTGCACAGACGGGAATATTGCTGCTGATGAGAAGTTCTACAACATCCACCCGCAGAGTGTCGCGATTCTTGTCCAGGAATCCATCCACACAGTACCAGACATGCCCCGCATAGTGCTTGATCCCAAATTCCATGGAGGACATGCGAGGCCTCGAATAGAGTTCGTTCAGGGAATGGTTATAGTGACACTTCTCCAAGAAAGATGTGTCTGTCGCCTTGGGAAAGTTGGATTCGTCATCCAACAGGTGGAAGATTCCAACCGGTTTCTTGGCCAACAGGTGAATCACGAGTTGGTTATCCTACGAGACACGATCCATCGATTACAAGGTCGAGGTTAATCATCCGCTGAAAACGTATCAAGACTTTGACTGACGGGGAAAGAGATGGGTTGCCAATCGATCCTCTCCTTGGCATATTCTTGCTGCTCCAGCTTGAAGACGTGCTTGCTGAAGTAGTACTGAAGGTTCTCGTTGGCGTAGTTGATGCAAAGCTGCTCGAAACTGTTCTCCTGTCCGCGAAGAAATGCATGCATGCTAAAAGATTCCTCCGTTTGGAACGTGCAAGGGAACGCGTCTTACGTCGAAGACTTCGAATCCAAATATGTCCAAGATGGATATGGAGAGGTTCTTGGTTCCCCGGCAAACGGTCTGATTCACCCGATTCACGAGCCACGAGAAGAGCGCATAATAAAGCGCCTTGGCAACTGCATCCCTGGCATCCAAAGCCTGGTCGATGTTGAGCGGCGTAAACACCCGTTCGTTCCGCGCCTCCTAAAACATCATCCACCGTTCGTGAACGCATCGACCGTTTGACACGAATACGACGAAGAGACGCATCGAAACGAAGAGGAACTTACAGTGATTCGGATCGTGAGGGCACGAGCGATGCCTTCGGCAGACAGCTGAAGTAAATGCGAAGTCCATTTGACCTGGGCTTCCGATCCGATCTCGACTCCCTCTTGGCCGTGTCGCAACTGCCGCCGGTGGAAGTACACGTTCCCCAGGTGCAAAACTGCAAGGTTGTTACGATCTTTCTCTTACATCCCAACTCCAACACGTCCGTTTCGTTAACTGAATCCCACGTTAGAGAGGGGCATCTCAGTCCGCGCTGGCGTTCAATGCAGCGATGGCAGTCAATCAAGAATTAGCTGCTCGTATATCGTTGCACTCAACTCCCACTCTTGCTCCCTCCCGCTGAAGTGAGGTACTCCTCTCTATTACGTGTCTTTTATCTCTATCAAGTTCGACGATATGCGATGAACTCGGTAATTTAATACGAATATCATCTATAGTTAGTCTCAGTAGAATATTACAACGTAAATTCTTTTGGAATGCAAATGTACCTGAAGCCAGGATGCGGAAGATGGTATCTTGTTCCTCCATGGAGAGTCCAAGGACTTGCATGGCAGCCAGAAGCGACTGAAAGTCCTCCTCGTCGTTCTTCCCGTCGATCTCGCAGCTTCCACCCTGGAAAATCATACATATTTGTTCCATATATATTTCGATTTCTATAAGCAAACAATGCAGATAATTATATATCTGGCTTGCGATCGACGTCCAACGTGCCTGATTGAGGTAGAAATATTTATCGGGGGTCTGGAGGCCATACTTCTCCTTCTCCTCCGGTCGGAGCCCCTTGAGAAGCTCGTAAAAGACGTGATAGTTCCTCTCGTCGGACGCATGCGTCACGATCCTGCTCTTCTCCAGCAGATAATCCGTCGTCTTCGCACCGCTGATCACTCCGCTGTGGACGGTGGATGAAAAAAAAAATCAAGGCCGTTCGTGAGGCGGGAAGGCCACGGTGATACTGCAATATGGGGGGTTTGAATGAGAAAAAGCAGACTTGTTGAAGTAGAGTTGAAGGTATTTGCCAAAACGAGATGAGTTGTCGTTCTTGACCGTCTTCGCGTTGCCGAAGCTTTCGAGGAGCGGCGTGGCTTCCAGAATCTGCTCTGTGATCACGTTCGAGGAACTCTTGTTCACCGCCGCCAGGTACTAACACAGTCGCAAGAATGGAAACCAAAATGTATAACTGATTCGAAAAAGGAACTAATATGCAAGGAATGTTCCTTAAAAGGACAAAAAATTACAAAAAATAAAATTAAAATCTGAAATAAACTTTTCTCCATTTGCTCGATTTCGAAATAAAACGAAAATCAAATCCGGAGGATATCGGCATTAAAAAAAAATTTCGTTGATGCATAAAAGACAGACCTGCATGATGAGTTTGGTGCTTTCCGTCTTTCCGGCACCGGATTCCCCCGAGATGATGACTGCCTGATTCTCCCCATTTTCCAAATTTTCGTTGTTCACGTGGGCGTAGGCCGCCGACGCGATCGCAAACAAGTGTCTGTTTCACCAAAGAGCTTCATCACGAATCTGTAAAGTGCGCAGGGGCAAAAAGAGAAATAAAAGCACGTACGGCGGAAGGGTGCCGAGGATGCGACCCTCGTATTTCTTCACCATGTCCAGGCCGTAAATGTCGAACATCTTGTACGGATTCACCGACACCAAGATGCTTCCGGTGTAAGTCTGAAAGGGCGGGAAAACGGAAAGGGTTTACCGACTCGAATCCTTTTTAATCCGGACATGCTACCGTGAACTGATTAATTTCCTCACGTAGATGAGTTCCTTGTCGTAGCGTATCTTGAGATTCCACACCAGCGATGCTTCGTTGAGATCACTGGAGAATGAAAGAAAAAAAAAACTCTTAACGAGTCACGCTTCATTCAGATCAACGGGGAGAAAGGGTTAAGGGAATTCTCTAGCCCAATTATCGGTGGAAACCCACTCCCACTATCTTTTGAGACGTTTCTTTTTCACCCGACACTCAGGAATCGTGAATCTAACCCGAGTCGATAACTCCCAAGAACTGCTCAACGTGGTCATCTCCCGACTCTTACTTACCGTCCTCTTCTTCAGGATGCGCGAATATGCGGCCAAAAGAGACATCTCAAGGATTTCAAGACCCGAGAACCGGAAGTCCATGAAGAACCATTTGTCGTGACCGTAGTCCCAATCCACTCGACTCCAAAACTTCTCCCGTGATTCCGCTTTTTCCTTTCCTGAACGCATTTCCTCTCTTGGTTGCGAGGAAACAAATTTCTCGGAGAACGCTTGGAAACGTTCCAACCCCCCCCCCATTTGTTAGTTGATGCCAAGATCGGGACTATTGACCCGCGAACACCGCTGCCTGTGAACTGTACTCTAACCCCTCGGGAAATCTGGGCAACTTTTTCCATTACGAAGATGAATAATCGATGTCTGTGGGCGTCGATCGGGCGGAAGAAAAAAAGTCGGGGGTTCGCTTCATTCACGCCGACTGTAATTTCGATTTCTCATCGAGAGAAAAAGGAGAGAGACTTACGCGAGCTGAATCATGTCTTCGACGCCATACTGGCCGAGGTCCTGCCTCCTTCGCACGTGACTGACGTTGTTCATGGTGAAAACTTGGGGCTGGAATAAAAGAAAAAGAAATCTTTTGGATTCGGCTCATCGACGTCGCGAAGAACGAGCAAGAAAGGGAAACGGTGATGCTTCCGCGGCTCGAAAGGGTGAAATGTGAAAGTTTTCCATCCGATGAGAGAACGGATAGGGGATGACGGAGGCTGTTGACTCTTCCATTTGGATCCTTCCTTAATGGATCCTCCCGTCACGAACCTAATTCCTTTCCATCGGCTGGAGTGTTTACCTGCCGGGTTACAAACACATGGTGGCGTGGCCGGAGAGGAGGGGAAAAGTCGGACGAACAAGCGTCTCCTCGCTGCAACTACCGATCGGCGAAAACACCCGAGCTCCAAGCGACGTTTGGGTGCGGAGGGAAAGGCAGCCCATTTACGAAAACACCGATCCCCGATTTTGTTGGGATTTTACTAGGGCCGAGCCGATGCATTGGCAACCACTGTTATCGATTACCGGTATGGCTCCATCGGCAGGTTTCCTCTGCCGATGCCTGAAGAGCATACCAAACGAAGAAAAAGAGGGGGGGAGGGGCAACACGTGAACGTGCCTCGGTGTATGATTCTAAACAGCAATAGGAAAAAAGTTGGGCAGTCAAGGTCCATCGATGTCCTATCGACAGTTGTATGCATCGATGGCTTCATTTTCCATCTCGATGGTCACAACCCCCCTCTCTTTCCGACCCCGATCACGAACGAGCGATACCGAGAGATGTCCGCTCCGCGATCGAGGCAGGAAACGACGGATCCAACCGATCGAGACGTGAGATGACTGAATCCCCGTCCATTGTGAGGCATCGATGCGCCATCAATAGTTTGGGTCGATACATTTATGCTTTTAAAACGGCTATTGTGACAGTCCTTTAAAAAGTAGAACATGGTCTCACGATAGGCATATTTGAATGAGCATTTGCCATCGTGGATTTCGGCTCTTCATCTCCACGTCACAATCGACATCGGTACCAGCACCGCCCGATGGGTATAGATCACGATCGGCCATCGGTCAAACGCGGCCATCAAAACGGTCCTGGTTTTTCCATTTGTAATCTTAAGGTCGTTTCACACCCTGCGTGTCTTGCGTGCCATGCACGAATGCTCGAGCAGGTAAGCAGGTGCAAGCGTGCACACGCATGCCCACTCACATCCGAGGGTTTTCACAAACCGCAAGGCTTGCATTCGGAATCGGGACGAGTTCGATTCGGGACGTCTGCACGCATGCATATCGGAGGGAAAAAAATTTTCGGGAGAGGTGGTCCCGCCCAAGGCGTCGAAAATGCCGTCCTACCTGCACGACAAGACGCACCGGCTTTCCATTAGCACCCACGGAGACTCGGCTAAGAACGCATAACATGCAAAGCATGAGCTCGCTGCATGTATAACTATCTCGCACGCGCCACACGCAAGAGATGCAAATCGCGAAGCGGCCATTAGCCTTTACCCTGCCCCTTTTGGAATAGATTCAAATTAGAATCTAAAAGTTATGGGGTTTAGGGCTGCTAGGCTTTCTTGTTCACGAATCGACCCTCACATTTTAGATTCCTTGCAGCATCTTTTGGTCTTCCACGTTCGACGCAGCCCCCCCCCCCCCTCCTCCTCCCTCTTCCCGCACCTTAAAATCTGGTTGACCTCCTGAAACGGGACCTGGCCACGTCACTGCTTCCCTCTCGTCGCTCTCGTTCACCCTCAGAAAATGCGCTTCGCTTGGCTCCGTCCCAGCGAAATCGCGTGGAAACTTCGTTTCATATTCTTCGATTCGCGACGAACGATCGTACCGAACTTGCCGGGAACCGGGAGGTGATGTTTTCCAGCAGTAAGCGAAAAAGCCCTTCTAAGTATTCCCTGGGGAGAGGAAAGAAATTTTTTCTTCTCCATCCCTCATCATCTCCCAGCAGCCTCCCCCTTTTCTTTTTTCTTCTTTTTTCCTCTCATCCCCTTTTGGGTGAGAAAGCGGGCAACGCCCTCTTCCCTCTTCGGCCCCGGAGCCCCAGGCCAAGCATGCGAGAGAGAGCGAGATGATCCTCGCCATGAAACTCACTCATTTACCCTTCCCTCCCATTCCTCATCCGTCTCTATCTTCATAAAATCTTCCAGGTACATCGCATGCCGCCCACGCGTATACATGACGTCCGACACCCTTCGTTACGAGGCAGAATGGAAAAAATCCTGGAGTCATCGCACCTCCAAAAGGATGGAAGAACTGGGGAAGAGGGGCGAATGGGGGCGAAGGGGGACGAATGGGGGGGGGGGCGTGAGCATCGCTCTAGGCATTTTCGCGGAAGTGGAGCAAATTCATTTGTGCACGCATCACTTCCATGTTTCGGGGAAAATAAGCGCCGGAGAGAGATTTAAGGAAGAAAAATGAAAATAGCAGAAAGGCCTATGACCCAACCCGTGACCTTTCGACCGGAGTCCTCCGGTACCTTTTCTTTATGAGACCGGACGGAGGGAAAGGAACATCATAAATTATCGCACGAAGGGGGGGGGAGAGGGGGATGGGCTTGGTTCCTGTCAAACGGGTACAAGAAAACACTATGCAAAAAAAAGCACTCACGAGCGGATTGCAGGAGAGGCCTAAACCACGAGACGTGCACTTTGGGCAGAGTCGAGATCGGAAATTAGCAAGGAGTGAGATCCGACCGAGATCTTTTCTCTTCCCCCGACGAGATCGATCCTCGTTTTCCCGGGAAAAGGAGGAAAAGGAAACCTCCTCTTCCATTTCACTCGTGAACAACGCCGAACGAAGCGAGAGGAAAGACTGAGGTCATGGAATGGAGATGATCTTATTTTTTTGCTCCGTGTCCCCGTGACCCGTCATTATAGACTGATGAGACGCTAGCGTTCCGGAAGTGCATCATTCGCAATCGAAGTCGACGGCATCCCCACGGGCCCGTGGAATTCTCTTCCGTCGTCACCATGCACGACGCGTCCCACGTGACTCGTCCCGTTCCATCGGTAAAAGAAAACGAAATCCGTGGAAATGGATGCCGCTCGGCGAGTTTCTCCCACCGGTACGTCACGTTAAATTGCTCGTCATCGGGAGGGAAATCGATGGATTTCGCGGGCTGATGCATGCCATGTACTAATTGCAACGTATCAACGTATCGGGGATCGAAGATGACAGAAAAGGGATATGTGCTGAACGAGGGCTGCCAAAGACGAAAGGACTCAAAGAACTTTTTTTACGAGGGATCCTTTGAGGTATTCGAGCCGACACAGAGAACGGTTCCATGATGCCATCATGCATTGAATTCTAAGTGAGAAAATGAACGGGAAGTGCATCCGATGAACTGGTCTCGGCATTCCACCGAATCCAAAGCTCACGTTAACCTTGGAATTCCGCTCGGTTTCTTCGCAGCCTGTCCTTGCAAGAAAAAAAAGGGAATGCTGAGCATTCCCCAATTAGCGATGCGTAACGGACTGGGGGCTCGGGAGACGCCCTTCGTCTCCCCGCGTATCAAAGCCCGAAGGAAGGAGAAAAGAGAAGCATTTCGCTCGTGAATTTCGATGCCAAAGATAACGAGCCACGCCCGGGGTCGAAAACTGGACGAAGGAGAAAGGGGTTCGAAACAGATTTTTCCAGACGGAATCGCATTCGAGGACGAGGAACGTGTAAACGTTACGACGGGAGACCCAGTTTCGACAGATATCAGTCAAAGAACGAGTCGGACCACCGAGGTGGTCTCGAAACATCTGTCCTTCCCATCGGAAGCCCGGAAGAAGAATTATTATTACGAATACGATCGGCATTCCTGGCCTCATTCCACGGGGACCCTTTTCCAGGTCATGACACCCATATCATATCTCCAAACCCTAGGCCAGCGTTATTTTTTTCCCGGCGTCCACGTGCAAGCGCGAAGAATTCCGAAGCAGCCGACGGCGGTGACGTCGACGACGTCCCGTTACGCGATTGGCTGGATTCCAGGTCCCGGCGGAGGTCACAGACTGGTGGCGTCTGCTCGGGCCGTTTCGTTTAAACTCTCGTCTGTCACGCATTCCAGTGTGAAGTGAAGAGAAAGAAACTCTTACCTTGCCGCCGATGACAGCCTGAACCGTGATGACACCCGACGGACGGTGATACTCCACCACTTCTCCGGGTATCACGTAACCCACGCCGGGGTCAAACCACACCAGATCGCCCTGCAAGAAATAATTAAACCGACAATCATTAATCGTGTAAAAAAAAATAAAAGTAAATACGTCGACTCGTCTCCCAAGAGGTGAGGCCAGCATCCGGGGAAAAGGTAACCTACAACTTCCGCTTCGAGCCGGCCAGACATGCGGTATTAATAAATTAACCGCAAGGTTTACTTCGCGGTGAGATGTAGTAAGGCATACGCGAATGTACGAGATCATCCGTCACGCGAAAGGCAACGTCCTCGAGACGTCACGCCAGGGGCATCTCATGTCTCAGGGGCGTTGGCATTATTCGAGAAAAGAAAAAAAAAAAAGAGAAGGGTCGGAAAAAAGCTTTCATTCATACATTCCGTGTCACGAATCTCGTCTCGTCGGGGTCGTCACACCCCGTCCTTAAGCTTGTCTTAGATCGCATCGATCCACGCTCGAGACGCCTTACATACGTAGGCGATGATTCCGGCACGTGCAGCTGCCATCCGGCGTGTTATCGATAGCCTCCTTTCGCAATCGCGTACACGTGTCTCGTCGACGGGTACGCGTACCGAAGACCTTACGGAAACGGAGTCTCGTCGTTCGCCTCTTCGCACCTTCGTTCGGTAGCGCCGCGGCAGCAAATCGGCGGGTCATGCCTCACCTCGGGGTCAAAACTTTCCATTACGATCGCTTTTTGTCGGCAGGGGGTCGTAGCACGACGGGAAGCGAAGGATTGCTCGTTACCGACTCGAAATGGGGTCACTCGGAGCCTTTGAAATATCACGAGAACGACACCGAAAAGAACTCTCGTACGGGATTCGGATTGTGAAGCATTTTCCTTCGCCTCGGAGGTAAAGGGGGCGGTGGCGTCCGCGGAGAAGGAGCCGAAAGATTCCCCAGACTCTGAGCTCGCACGACTCCGTCGATGCTGTGTCGACTGAAATACGCCCGGACGCTGATGGCACCCAGGGACAAGGCCCGGTCGGACAGGGAAGCTGCTTCCTCTCGGTCCCGACCGATCACGATCCCGGGGAAACTCTCGGCTCGGGGAATCTCCGGTAGAGGTCGGTTCGGAGGCTCCGGGAGGGTCAAACGGCTGGAGCTGACACTTCGTTCGGGTCCTTCCTTCCGGTCGCGACGCCTCCAATAGTTCCTCGGGAGGGAGCGAGACTCCCGTCGGACGAGGCTTACGGTCTTGCGGGTCTTCTCCTCGGGACTTCGGACTCGTTCCTCGGGGACCTCCGTCGCGCTGCGACGTAACTTCTTCTTGGGCCCGCGGTCCGTACCGCGGGACCGCGGGACCACTTCGGAACACCGGCGCGTGATGCACACGTTCTCCACGCCGCGGCACGCATCGTGATACACTCCGTAACACCACCGTTTCCGAAAGGAGATTCCGAATCCGCTGGTGATCCGCGTGGCGAATCCTTGACTAGGGCTCCAATAGTAGAGGCGTTGAATGGGAGGAACCGGCATGCTTCATCTCCGACGCCAAAGACGTTTCTCTCGAGACTGGAGTCCACAAAAGAGGAAGCTTTCGTGCGACAGTCACTGAACCGTATCCTCTTCGTGATAACGGCGGACGGAATTTTTTTCCAACATGCCCGGCACGTCGTGATGGCCTATACCGACATAATACGGCAAGTGATTCCCATCGACAGATTCCGTTGCGACGTGACAAAGGAGTAAAAGACGTCCCACACGCCCACAAAGAGCCACACCGATGGAATGCCGTGCAGCGGAGACACACGCTAAAAGTGAACGAACTGTGTGGATTCAGCGGCGCGAGTCTTTTTTTTTCCTTCTCTCCTCCTCCTTATGCTTCTTCTCCCATCTTATCTCTTCTCCTTTCGGGAGATTCCCAGAAGGAGATAGTTTCTCATAATTATTTCTCTTCGCGGTGGTTGGTTCTCTTCCTCCTCGACGCCCCCACATCTTACTGGGAGAAGCGAGAAATGTCCTCTCTGCATCCCCCTCTAAATGAATGCTTGTCGGCGAGTCCCTCCCAGGAAACAAATACCTGACCATCAATATTCCATACCCCAGGTAATATTTGCCTTGAGGGTGTAATAAATATGCCAGTCGATTAAGAGGACACGCCGCTCGTTCCACACGAAGAGTCGAAGCGTATCGCTAAAATACCTGTTCGTTAACAGATGGGTGTCGAAAATTGACCCCGCAATTATTGTGTCACGTGACGAGTCATCACGCACCAACCGCCCCAATTTTTTTCTTCCTGTCCTCGACACCCATTCCCTTGGATAAAAAGTGCGAGAAAACGACAATTTCATTTGACGGCATTTTGATGTACATCTTTAAAAAAAAGTCTACTTCTGGAGCGGACAGATGTTTCGGAGCGTCGTCCCCGTGGATCAATGACTGAGTGGCTCACTTCCGATCCCAATCTGTGGTCTCATTATGAACGTGGGAACGCGTTGCACCCATTTCCCCGGCAGAATGGAGAGAAAACCTCAGCGTTTTCATGCCGATTCGGTCGCCCGACCAGCATATCAATCAGAAGGCAGGAAGGAAACGGAATTAAGGGGGTCTTGTTCGCAGTCGTCGGGAGACCTCAACGCTCGGACGAGAAGCATGCAAGCACCTCCTTCTCGTTCCACCTTCGAGCACAGGCACGGGCAGAGGCCACTCGCTATTTTTTTTTCTTGCGAGTTCATCCAAGGATGAAAGTCTCGGGGTTTTCACCTTTCCACAAGTCATCGTCACCGAACTCCGATGATCATCGAAAACCAGTAGGGCCTCATACGTTACGCGACCTTACAGTTTGCTATCTATACGGCGTATGCCTAGGGGTCGCATCGATGATACCAATGGTGATGTCAGAAAAAAAAACGGGATTTCGGTTATCGGTTTTCTTGGAACTGGATCTGTGAACAAGGCAGGGCACATGCTCTCCTCCAGAGGGGAATCGTTTTCGATTGTTTCCTTGCCCTTTCTTCCTCCAGAACTTGAACACGGGGGGTCGCATTCGACCCGAGGATTTGTGACGTTCGACCGGGAGATGGCGCCACTTTCCAGCGAAATAAAGGAGGGCCTTGAAGCGTGTCGGACTGCGAAGCGTGGGAAAGTGGAGTCAGAAAGACACACACACGAGCCGACCCTTGAGCCTGAGGAGCTAGAAAACAGTAGGAAGCGGGACAGGGGCGCGGCGCAATAACCCCCCCCCCCCCCCCATATCCCCAAGCGAACCGTAAGCTCCTTTTCCACTTAGAGTAAATGGGTGGTCGGCACAAACACGATCGTGTATCCGCTAGATTTCAGATACAGTTAGATTAATTTCATTATTTAAAACAAAGTCGGAACCTTAAGCTACCGAAATGATATCCTTTCATCCTCGAAAGTCGTTATGAATGGATAAAATCGGGGCACTCGATCTCCCTCCTTCATCGGTCGCCCTCCGCTTTGTTCAGATTTCTACAGGGTGTCTCATAAGTAGCGCACTATAGGGAATATCAATATCAATCTATGGAATTCACAAAATGTGTTCAATGTAGTGGCCATAATTAATGCAAAATCATCTCGATATGTTCGTCTTTACTAAGTGTCATGACTCAAACACAGTCTGCAGTCTGTAAATAAAAAAATAATAAAATAATAAAAAAGACACATTAGCCTTTGGTGCGCAACCTATATGAAACCCTGCACATTCCTATAGGAAAACTTTTCCAGAAAATTTCAAATCGACCTCACGATGGGAGAAAATCGTAAAACGAGTGCCCGTGTCCCATCTGCACTTTTCTCAGTGGTATAATAAATCGTGAGGAAAATAAAAAGGATGACTCACCTGATCGTAATCAGGCATTGTGCTTTTCTTCTATCGGCACATCTTCACGGTCAACGCCAAAGCCTGAAAAAAAAAGCGATGCAGGTAAGACAAGGTCGATGAAAGTGGGGGAAGTGGAGGGAAAAGAAGTTTCAACACCTCGGAAATCCAGGCAAGGCACTGCAAGTCATGGGTACTCCATTGATAATATTAAAAAAAAAAATGAAAGCACCTCTTTCTCCGTCTGATCCGACGGGGCCAAGGGAAAGGGAGGCCTTGAGCAACATATTGAAGCCATGCGTTATGGGGCCTCCCCGGCTGCCTCAGCGGCATATCTCAGCCGATGGAAGCGAACGGCCTTTCGTTTTCTTCGTGCGGGAGGATTGCATGCGTCGAGGAACCACGCTTTTTTTTTTCTATTTAGCGCTACGCCGGTCGGGCTCATGAATCCAACCGTGGAAACAATTAAGTGATACGCTTTCGTCTTTTATTTCCTTATTTTGATTCCCCTGACACATTCGGTCGTCGGTCGTCGTTTTCACGAACCGACAAAGCGGAACGAGCGGATCGTGGGATTCGCTCGGGTGAAGTGGATGCGCGGGTCGACGAGACGCGACGGGACCTCATTCCACGAGACGAGGATTGCGGATCCGACCCGCGAATAATTTCACGGACTGCATGGGTGTGCCTAGTCGTGCGTTGTGAGAAAATGCGGCACGTGATTACTCCTTCCTTTTCGATATCCACTTTCTGCCGTAGGAGACATGATAGAGTGCTTAGGGAGAGGAAGCGAATTAGTCCGGGAGAAAGAAGGAGTTGCACAACGCGTTGCGCCAACCTCGCGGTTTTTTCTTCAGACGACTAACCTCGTTCGTATTTCACAGGTTTCTCCATTACATACAAACATTTTGGGGAAAGTTTCGCTAATTACGTTTGCGATTGGAAAATGGATGGGGAAATCTTTCGTTTTTGTTCTGTGAAGCGTTTTATCCTATCGCACGAGGCACTCGAGCGAGCGTGAAATGAGAGTGGCATAATGCATAAAGCGAATGGCGGAAAAAAAAGGCGTTGTTCCACCGCGAGACAGATGGAAATGGATTCATTTCTCCTCCTCCGCTTCCTTCCTTTATTCCGAGTTCCCCGCCGCGATTTCCCTTTCGAAACTCCGACGGGAACTTCATTCCGCGGATCGGTGGGATGTCTCATGAATGGGGGAAATGGAGAAACGAAACCCTCGGGCGTCCGAGCTCTCGACGTATGCAGCCAATTACCCTAAATAGCCGCCGCCTTTTTTTCTTGCTTGTCTTTCACTCGGGAAAAAAAAGTCGCAATCACGGTCTCTTTGTAAACGGAACAATATGGAATCCGTTGGAGCGGGATCGAGAAATTTGAGGGGAAGTTTCCAGGAAGTTTGCGGTTGAACGGCCACGAGAAAGGAAAACGGAAAAGGGGGGGAAAAAAAGACAGGGACCGTCGACCCATAGCCTTAAGGCTTCCTTTTTTTTTTCCTAATCCCCCTCGTGGAGACACGCGAAAGTGTGCGTACGTCGACACGAGTCGAGACGGATTCCACTGACCGACATCGACCAGACGGATCCTCCATCGATTTCCCACATTCCGGTTCCCCATCCATCGATGTCCAAGGCCAAAGGAAGAAAAAATCAATGGAAACAGGTCTATGCACATATTGCATATCGTGGATGTTTCCGAAGAACCATCGAGAGGGTTCATTGCTGCATTCGAGAATGCCACGAGTTCTTGCATATTCGGTTCTGTTCCGATTTCGGTTTCAAAGGATGGTCCTGTAATTTATTTTAAACCTGTGCTGTAAAAAAAAAATAATATAAATAAATAAATAATAAAATACACCAGCTTAGATGTTCCGATACTGCATTTGTGACATTCAAGAAAATGTATCGAATCCTCTTCGTTTCGATTTTTCCATAACAGGACCGAGAAGATATACGATTGCGTATCTTCAATCCTTCGTCATGCCACGTCGCAGTTTTCGAACTTTTCGATGTTGCATTCCTTCCCATCGTGTGATCCATACTCGCCCTTCCTTTTGGAACGGCACATGGTCGATAGAAAAAAAAAACAGACCAAAATAGCTCGTATGAATGACGTGGATCGAAAGCCTTCCCGTTTGGATTCGGGAGGTCTCGCATCGCTGCGGTCTCCCATCGGGGACTCGTAGTCGGAATGAAAGAAACCGCTTCCACTCTCTCCGTCTTCCCGCTTTTGGAAATTAACGGAGCGGAGATGATGGTCCACGTGGACGGCTGGCATGCTCCCCGCTTCGAGAACGATTCGTCAACGCGACCGGGCCGTTTCGATGCCTGCTATCGGTGCTCGTTCGCTCGCTTCTTTCTTTTCGCTGACTTTTCGATTTCGCGACTAAGCTGTTATTTACGGGTTTTGGTATTTCCTTCTCGTTGTCTTTGCTTCACTTCGGTGAGTTTCGTGGACCCCTTTTAAGTTCGTCCTTGAAAGAAAATTACAAAAACAACTTTCGCTCTCCAGAGAGAAGATCCGCATTGGATTCCAAGAAAAAGGCAAGACGGGATGAGCGGAAAAGATAAATTCAGCCTTGAAGGAGAAAGGCATCGGAATCGGCTAGAAAGGAAGCGTTTATCTTTCCGTACTTCGAAGGCCTAAGGTAAAATAACACCTGCACTCAAGAATGCAAGGTCCTTTAAATCCGTCCCCATTTTTGGAAGCCTTGAACTTTCCACGTGATCAAATTATCGAAGGAATTGGATCGTATCATATGGAATGTCATGTTCAAGGCCCACGTAAATGACTCAATTACCCAGGAATTTCGTGTCGGGTGATTAGGCCAGTGATTGATCCGTTGCGAAACGGATATTCGGTTCGAGCCCTCTGCAATGTCGAGTGACGGGATCGTAGGGCCTTTAAAGGGTCAGATGACACCGGGGCGTGACTCGAGGGCAACTTCAAGTTCACTCTTTCCCTCGAGTTTCACAGGCTATTCGATTTCCGTCGCGAAGGCGTAGGCCTAAAAGACGCAGCGTTGCAGGCCTGCTAGAATTTGAAGAAACGGAGAACTCCCTCACCGGTGAAAGAGGTCCTTGAAAGGGGGGAGAGAAGGGTCGGGTCAAGTGCGCTCCATATCCGTCTGTTCCGCCACTCCTTCACACACGACACGACGTGTTCTACCCACTCGTGTATCGGGAAACGCAACCGAGAAACTGTCGAAGGTAGAAGCCGAAGACGCAGAAGAACGAAGGGACCGCGTCGAACGTGCGGGGCTACTGCGGCCGTGAACGGACGGATGGTAGAAGGTCTACATCTACAGCTTTGATCTACAGAGGGCCTTAGCACTGGCACTGGGGCTGGGACTGAGGCCCTCGGGGCGCCTTCTCAGGAGAGACCCCCTCGCTCTCTCACATTCCTTCCGTTTGGCCCCGTTCTTGAATTCGCGATCTCCCCCGTTTTGTTCGTTTTCTGGGCCGCTCTCGCAGGTCTTCCGTTCCCTCTTAATTCCCCCAATAAAGAATGTTCCACGGGGTGGAGGCGAGAGAGGATCTCGTCAGGGTAGGATTCGTGCGTTGAAGTTACCGTCTATATAAGGGGCTTGGCTTCTCTCGGGGTTACTGACTGACGGCCTCCGAACCCACCAAAGTATGCGGGTCTCCCGTCTTCCCCCCCCCCCCTCCCTACACACGTGACTTGACCGAGAATTTCTACTTCTGCACTGCATTCATTTCCCTTCATTTAAACCAGGAACTTGGCTAGGTCGTCGTGCGATGACGCCACCGGCCAAACCATATTCTGGGAATCCAAGGCGTCTGTCAGTAAACGTTTTTCTAGAGAAACGCAGGGTGTGACTCGCTCGGTCTGCTGACCCGATTTTTTTTTCTCCTCTTTCACCTCGGGTACCATAGATTAGATCACGAATTTTCTTCTCCTGTTATGTAAACAACTTCTACTGGATTTTCTCATTCACGGATTTCCGGCTGCATTTCCCCATCAAGAAGGCAGGGCGAATTTGACACTCGTAACAATTCACTGAAATAGGAATACTGTTTAACTTGTCTTTATTCATATTTTTCCATAAACTGTGTGTTTTTTTGTAGTTGCAGAAATCACACTTTATTCAAGAAGCAAATCGACTCCAAGTCGATACGGTCGACAAAGGCAGTGCACACATGCAGCACATTGAAAGAAATCACCTCCGTACCAGCTGACATTCTCTTTTGACCTGAATGGAGAGAAAAACTGAAAGAAAAGTACCAAACAGGTCATGCAACTGATTGCTTGAGACTCTTCGCATGATGGGATTTCTGCCTGTGGATGCTAAGAGAATGCAGAAGGGCGTCCGGGGATGGATCCCGACCTCGGAATCGCCGGAACACCTCAGCCGGGTGGCATCCACCTCCCAGAGAAAGAAATGTCTCTCTGTATCTGCAAAATGGAAAACACACTATTAATTAAACATACTATTAAGAAAGCACTCAATTCTGTTATATTTTCCATTTACAGTTACCGATACGATTGAAAGTGGTTTTTTTTTCTGACCTGCGTCCAACCTTCTTCAGCTCATCTGGCTTGTCAAAGCCCACCTCTTCAAAGGCGTTGAAGGAATCGGCTGCAATCATTCTTGCCCATGTGTGGCTGTAATACGCAGCACCCCATTCTTCGCTGAAGATGGTGGTCAATGTGAACGGGTGGTTATCGCCACGTTCGAGCGTGAAGGCTGGGAAATAAGACGCCCATAGTTCCTTCATGATGTCCAGCCAAAATTCCTTCCTATATTCAGAAACAGGGAAACATTGCACTTTTTGTGAATGAGGACCTGAAGTCTGACCATTAGAGGACCCTACTTGTTGTGGACAGTGAGATCAAAATCACTGATGTAGAGCTCATTCAGGAGGTCATGGGAAGCAAGATGGATCTGTGACTGACACAAGATGTTGGCCATCTGCTGTGACAGCCTTTTTTTACTTGCATAATGCTGACTCAGCTTCTCTAAGATCACTGGTTCCAGGAGCCTGGTTGATAATGAAATCATTCCAATGCATATTCTCAAAATTAGAGGGTACAAGAGTTGTGAAGGAAACCGCCACATGAAAGGGGAAAAAAAAATGATGCACACCACTGACGGAAGAAGAGAGGGACTGCCTGTGAAGCATCCCATTCAATGTTGTTGCTCCCTGAAATTTCACTGTAGGGGGCCAATGTGAGAAGGTGCTGCATAGCACTTCCCATCTGCAGATTTTTATTTGAATCAGCACAAGGGCATCAGATAGCAAAACAGATTGCTATAAAGGAATCTCACCTTTTCTAAGAGGGTCTGAAGGTCAGCGATGGAGAGAAGAGCTGGCTGAGACCCAAGTGGAGGGAGGAAGTTGAAGATGAGGTTAGCAATGGGTTTTGTTTTCACCACTTCACTCCTGCTTCGGCCTCCCATCATCCATGCTGCATTTGGTTGCGTATACAGCTTCTCACCTGGCCTAGATAAATCACAATCATACTCTTTTCCACAATTTCCCAATGTCCTTTTCGATAATTAATTTCTTGGAGCCAAACACTTCAAAGATTTAGAAGATAACTATGTGAGCATGCCATGCATTTCTGTAAGCAACACATATGTAGGAGGAAGTGGGGGGAGAAAGCCTCCATTAGGCCAATTTTGAGTGGTGAACAGTTTCATACTTATACTCTTAAAAATACTTGGCAGCAATTCATGTTCAATGCCATCAAAAATAGACAATAAAAAGTAATCAAAGTTAGATCATGAAAACCATCAAATATTAGAAAATGCAGTTCAAAGATGTCTTTGCTATCAACTTTTTACTTTCACTCAATCAATACTTACAATCAATATTGCAGTTTCAACAAATGAAATAATTATTTTTAATGCCCAAATGCATGAGTGCCCCTGATATGGATCAGGAAATAAATCTAATATCACAAATCATCAGAGGTGGTGTTACTTATTAAAAATTGCAGTATCTAACAAACTGATTTCATGGGAGGTTTTACAATGCAGTTCCTCACATGGAAAGCTGAGAACATCTAGACACCATGGCAATACTAGGTTAAACATGGGGTTGGTAGGAACATTGAAATGCACTGTTTTGGCACTGCAAAGTTGGAGCAAACCTCTCAAACTTCCCAAAAAGCATAGTCAGATGGGCCAAGGTCACTAGTCACCTCTTGACCACTCAGCAGAAAAATAGTACTAGCATGAAGAACAGTTGCTCAATTTTCTTTTCTTTTCCACACTTCACCCAAGCATATGTAGGGAATATGGTTCCAACCTTTTGTATGCATGTTCAGAAAATTCTCAGAAACTATGAGACATTGAGTGATGAAATTTTACGTATCAGTAGGAGCAGTCCTGTAAGTTAAACCAGGAAAATAAATTTTGCTTTAAAAATGTTCATTGGTTCATTCTTATTGACTGGATACATTAGAATCCTACATACTTGATGGACAAGGTGCACATCATATGGTGAAGGTGAGATGGTGTGTAGACCATATTTTCAAATTGACCACTGAATTATTCACATGCATATTTATCAGCACAGGTCAAGGCTATAGCTACATTTGATCAAGCATCATAACAGGAGAATCCAAAGGTTAACAACTTGGATATTTTGGGTTTCATAAATTAAGAATGGTATGTTTCAGAATGAGAGCAAAGGTCCTCCAAGAGATCTTAGCTACACCACAAAACTTACCTCATGTAGGGATCAATGTAAACAGCTGCCAGTTCTTCCCCACTTTCCTCATCACAGACACGATAAAATAAAACATCTGGGTGAAATGTGGGTGGTCGAGGCTCACTCCTCTCAAACCGAACACCAAACCAATCTTGACAGATTTCCAGCAGAGAATCCAGGACATGTGGGAATGGAAAATACTCTCTCGCCCTTGCTTCATCCATGCTGAAACATCCATTACATTTACATTCAATGAGCTCTTAACATGTTGCCTGCCAGGCTCAGTAATTCTTCATTGCAGTACATTGTATAGCAGGCACAGTAGTCAATGTGTTATGGAATGACAGATATTTTTTAAATCTCACTTGACAAGACTGAGCTTGTGTTTCCTCCTCCAGTAGGGAAGGTCCCATAGCTGCAGCTTGCCTTCAAATCCTGACTTGTGGGCAAAGTCTTGCAGCTCCTCCAGCTGCTTCTCATGGGTTATACGAGCTAAAAGGAAAGAAATGCAAAATGTGTTTTTCAAATCAGGCTTAGGTGAAATAGGCTTGCAACATATATGGAAAAATCATTTTGGCATACTAGAATGTGCTAGAGTGGTAATCATGGATTGGACAGTTTCTAGCTTCCCAGCCATTTTTGTCTCCATGGACATGTGAGCAAAGGATTCATAGCCAAGGACTTGAGCCAGGTCTTTTCTCAGGGAACGGATCTCTTCTAGCGTCACACTATGATTGATATCCTGGTTGATGTGGGATGAAGCGAGTGTGGTGTGAGCATGCCAAGCATTCCACCTCAGTGTCCTATCTGGGCAGTACTCCAGGAATCGGCGGTAGATATGAGGCTTCTGTGTTACAGTCCATGGTCCCTCTTGGGGTCTTGTACTACAGAACAGAAGGGATTTTTTTCCTTCTTCACAAAATCAGTTCTATTTGAATATCAGACATAGATCTACTCAATAAGTGACTTAGTTTTGCATGTCATAGATTCATTCAAAAAACATTTACTGCTCAACTGAAACAGCAATATCAACATTTTTGTTCATTTTTAGTCATCAATTGAATCTACACTTTTCCTTTCTTAACTTTCACAAGTGACTACTTTTTATTCAAATTTATTTGTCAATTTGTTTTTCTCCCCCTTTTAACTACTTTTTCCCTTTGCATTAGTGTTACCTGTATCAAGAGGTAGAAATTCTACCTGTCGTCTGCCATTGACTTGAGGAGATCTGCAGGGAACTCCTTCACTAGACCAGGATCTCGAATTGTGTGCTTGAATCGCCTCAGAGATGTCTGTTGGGTGAAGGACAAAAAACAGAATCAACAAGGTTCAACAGGAAGTTTAACTCAACACCTGCTTGGATTTTAATATACTGGTACAAAAATATAGTCCTGCATATTTTTGCTCTTATTTAGACTAGAGCTAAAAATGCCTGTTGGGTGCTGATCATATCAAGGTCCATAAATAGACTAGCTATCCAATTTCTCCATAAAATATTTTAGGATTCCAATTTGTCACTAGTACTCCCATGGGATCAAGGAGTTCCTCCCATTGGCAGAGTCTACACAGCATAAAATATTCTTTGATACCCAACTATTTGTTTCCATTCCTGTTTAGGCCCATTTATTGCCTTATATTGGTCTCTCCCCAAGTTTCTTCCCTTGGGCATTAGAACTGTAGTCTAATTATAGGCAATTAGCAAAATCCAACTTGACCAGCTCAGTAACCCCACATGAAAATTTTATTTATGACTGGCAGTATGATTCTATATGGTCATAAACTTGCCCCACAATCCATTAGGCTTTTCCATACTTTACCACATATCTCTCTCTCTCTCTCTCTCTATATATATATAAAGAAGAAAGTTTGTGTCTGCCAGTCAGTTCCTTTATGCATTTGGCCCCCGCAGGAGCCAGTGGAACCAAATTTTGCATGGCCTCCACTTTATCCAGGGAAAGGTCAAGGGTTATGTTTTGATCCAAAATTTTCACTCCCAGGGTACTTTTCCAGGGTATTGTAGTGTCAGGGATGGCTTTGAGAGGAATGACTGACTCCTGGATTTGGTGATGCAGTGGTAGCACACCTGATGGCTATCAGGAGGCCCAGTTCAATTCTCAGCTGTCCCCTGCCTTTTTTTGTCCTCTCATGCCAACTCTCGTCTCCCGGCTACCTGCATTACAGTTCCCCAGGGTAATCCCATTACTGGATCATTATAGTAGATAGTAAGTAATATTCTTTTGATCAAGTTTTCATCAAAAATATGCTTCAAAACAATAAAATGGCATTATGTATGGAATACAGTGAGTTCTACAGCAAAGTTTCGATACTTACCCATGAGCAACCTTCACATCAGGCCTTAAAAGTTTCATCCTGATTGAGTTCCTCTTGAGTGGCAACTGGATTATACACTGTTCTCAGATTGAATTTATACCCTTCCTGGGTAGAGGAGAATGGAAAAAGCACTACTTCCAGAGGATCTGCTTCATCAGGTCATTCAAAAAACCACCCACATGGAAATGTCACTACCTGCAACTGATACCCCCCCTCCCCCCTCTGGAAGCCTCTCTGTAACCATTATTTCTGGACACTCCATAACCTTGGTATAGCAGTGACCATGACAGTGGTATACATCAATTGGTCTTTAACTCCTGATGGCATAATATGTTGCTGCACCAAACCAGGGGACTCAAACTCATATCAGCTGACAGGCTGCATTCCTTACCCTACAGATGCCTGCGGGCCACAAACATAATTTTTTCACTGAAATTTGTGCAAACAGTCAATCCAAATAGAAATTTCAAGAACAGACAGCAGGCTGGATGAACCACCTCTGTGGGCCATATGTTTAACACTCCTACACTAAAGGAACTCAGCCATGGTCTTTTTGGGGGATTACTTCTTAGATTGCTGATTGGTAAGTGTCCATGTACAACTAATTGGGGCAGTATAAATAATTTTCAATGACTTATGAGATGACCCTCATATTTGACAACCTGGCTTGACCTGACAATTTGGCTTAGAACATATACTCTATATAGATGTTTGAAAGATGGGGTGCAACAAATGCCAAACTATTTCCTCTGGTAAATCTGACAGGTTTTTGCATAGAGATAGAATTCAAAGAATTTTTATCACCTTGTATTGCATCACTGTGTCTACTCTTACCTCACACTTCTCCCTGAAGATCTTCCTCTCCTTCATCAATTTCTGCAAAGTGGTTTTTAGCTGTTCCTCAGCAGCACCAGTCAGTTCAATTCCATTAAGACATGCCTCCAGCAGGAATTTGTCTACAATCCGCTTCTGAGGACCTGTCAATTTGTCCCTATCAGCATTCAGTTCCTGCCAAAATATGAGTAGATGCACTTGTATTCAGGAGTAGTCTGAAATGAGCTTTAAGTAGCTTACAGGGTATACAGCCTACCTTCACAGCATAGAACAATGGAAGGCTACAGAACTTCTGCAGTCGAGCTTGCTTGGCCCTTTCATGGAGTGGAAGATAGCTAGTTCCTGGTAGGAGGTCATTCCTAGCAGTGTAGATCACCTTAGCTATACTCCATGCACAATCCAGTGGAACACTGAGCTTCTCCAAGGGTTCCATAACTGTCTTGAAAGTCTTTGGGACTGTCCCATCTATGAGTCAGGAAAGTAAAAGAAAATAATATTTATAGACCTATTTGGGTCATTCCACTTGCAGAGGTAGATGGCCTGTGGAGGAGAATATCTCCTGGATTTATTTGAAATTTTGGCAGAGAAGTCTGCTTTGATGAATAAAATGAATCATGCTAAATACTTTTCCATTCACAATGATAACTCTCAAGTCACAAAGTTTTGCCCTGAACATGCTTCTGCATGGATCCCTCAGCACAAATTTCTCATCATCTTATAACCTATTCTAGCTAGTTGAATGTTTTATAGGTCAATCTAAAGCTCTTGAAGAGGCCCTTCCATTTCCTGCATGATCTTATAATTATATTTAAAAAAAAACCAAGTTTATTCAAGTTAACAAGTATATCCAGTTCTAAACTATGTCCACAACCTTTGATCTAGAATGATAACATAACATTCTTATTTGGCATACTTAAAAAAACAAGGAGAGTTAAAAGGGCATAAGCAATAGATTCCTTACAATCAAATGAAATCATGAGTTAATTCAATGTCCTCTTGCTGGTTGGAGGCATGAGATTAAATTGAGAAAAATTAGTATAAGTCTTCATAAATAGCACATCATGTATTCCTGAAGCAGGCTTTCTATTGGAAGCTTTAAGCGCCGTATGTAATTATGAGATGTCTGTAATGATGCCATTATTTTTTACTAATGACCAATCACTCATTTGTAGACTCATGACGATACACCTGCAAAATATTACCCTAACGTTAGGACTAGGCCTAAAGTTTAGCCAACCTTTAAGGGACTCTTCAATCTGGGATAGCCCAGTCTCGTACTCCAAAATGTGTCTACCCAAGCCTCCATAAATCCTCTCTGCACTCAGCTGATCATATTCTGGGTAGCCATCAGTTTTCAGGATAGAATTGCTGGCGGATGTGTCCTCCGGGATTTCGGGCAGCCTAAACAACATACATAAGGTTAGACTCACTAGAGAAAGAAACAAGCAATTCATGAATAAGGGAAGAAACCGATGAACTAACAGGACTACGTATCCACTTCCATATCGCTGCAGGCTTGCCCAATGTTTCCTCGAGAGCCGGAGACACCGCGTGTACGGTCGCATGTAGGATGCCATGTCTGAATTCCGCTCGTGTTGGGCTGTGAAGTCTCCTGGCGCCGATTCTGTCACATCTTATTAAAGTTTCTAACTACGGTGCTTGTTCTTTATTGGAGATACCAAAGACAAGAATTCGCTTGGCATTCCGCAGAACGCTAAGGCTTGATTATCCAGCATGATCAGCCGGTTCAATTAGCAAAGGCTCCGTAATTTCAAATGAATATAAAACATTTTCTTTGAAGAAATTGAATTTCCGAAGCAAAAGTCATTTCTTAAATTGGCAAGGTTTCCCCACTCCCTCGCAATGTAAAAGCCACAATAATGGCGAAATTAGGAAACAGGCTTTCGCTCAAATCAAAATCTCTTGCATTCCACGATTGGGTTGCCGGTTAGCTTCCTCGCTCGATGACGAAATGAGACATGAATCCGCAGCCGCTAATTGTGAGTTCCTTCCCTGGCAATCTCGATCATGTTGATGAAGCCATCACAAGAGATTGATTCTGACTTTTATCATGCCACAGGAAATGTCTTCGGCATCGTCATCCGGAATGAACATGCACGGGAACGAAGGACGACGGAATTCAGTTCCGATTCTCAGCATGTCCCGACAGGGAAAGAGAATCCGGGTCTTCAAGAACGGGGATTCTCATTTCAAAGGAATCATCTTCATCGTTTCCTCCTGTCCGTAAAGCATTCCGATTTATTCGAGGAGAGTAGATGTGTGCAAGAGAAGAGAGATTCCACCTTTTTTTCCGGTGCCACTTCTAAGCGAAATCGAGATTACGTGCACCCACTTGAATAAATGTGTGGATCCAAAAAGGGTCAGAGACTGAAACCACTAAAAGTTATGGGAAGAAATTTGGCACAGCGTTAGGTCTGGTGCGGAGACTTGGTAAAAATAGGTTTCGTTCAACTGTTCACCGTTTACGCTAAAACCATGGATCGAATTGCCTTCAATTTAATATCGATAGCTGTTTCAATTGTTTGAAACTAAGAGTACAGTGGTACCTCGCATAACGAACGCAATTCGTTCCAGCGGTGCGTTCGTTATGCGAAATAACGAACGCACCGCTGGAACGAATTGCGTTCGTTATGCGAGGTACCACTGTAGTTGTAAGGAGAAATGGAAAAAAAAGTCACAGATATAACTATAATGCCGAGAATGATCGACAAGAGTTTTATCGGTAAAAGTAAGAGTATATGCCAAAGTGAGAATTAATGTTGACAAACAGCGGCAGTGGATCTCGTGGCATAATTGGCTGGCTGGTTCTGGCCTGCTTCGTGTGCATAACGCGTCTCCCAGTGTCGTCTTGTCTTGTCTCGTTCCCGACGAGATGCAATTTCATCTTTCCCTAGAAGAATGGGAGCGGGAAATCGCTCCCATAGTGCAAAAGATTGTTGTAGCACAAGGCATTACATGGACAAAGACCCAACATTGGCCAATACTTCGATATTTGTCCAGTATATTGCGTTGCTAGGATTGTTTCTTCTTCTCCAGGTCGCTTCAGAACCTTCGATCAGATGTTGGACGATTTGACTAGGCTGCTGGTAGACAACCAACAACTCCGCTGCGGCGTTCATGCTCTTTATACGACGGACGGCCGAGAAATCTTCTCCCTCCAAGAAATAGAAGATCGAACGGATTACGTGGCAGCCGGAAAAGAATCCTTCGTGCCCCTCCATTACGCTGCCGCGAACAGCGACTCTTACGCCAAGAGTCGCAGTGTCGCCGCGGCAGGAGACGAGCCGAGGGCTTCCAAGAGGATCGACGGGACGGCAGAGTTCGTTCGACCGAAGTTCATCTTCGTCGTGAGGAATTCCGTCTCGAGGCCACGGTCCGTCTTCAAGTTCTTGCTGAACCGGAAGACGGCAGTGTCGTACGATAAAGTCCTGTCCATGATGTCGCAGAAACTCGATCTCGATACGGGAGCCGTGCAGAAAGTCTTCACCTTCGACCAGACTCGGGTCTGAACGCATCCATACTTTCTACGTATCACATAAAATGAAGCAATTCCAATTCAATTTGAGAATTGGATTGAACGCAGGATCGGACTGGTTCACTGGGATACCGGGAATTTTCCCGGGGGGCCCCTAGACTGCCAGTCCGACCCTGATTGAATGTTATTGTGCTCGGCCAAAAGAACCTGAAGAAAAATTAAAGTATAATTTTAAATATATTTATGATAAAATAAAGTTACAAAGGCTAACAATAGATGAGTGACATTGTTCAGGAAGTCTAATCTTCACGGGACAAACTCAGAAGCAACCGTGCTACCTGCTACCCTTTTTGCATCTTCGATGAAATGATCTTTTTAGCCGAACCTGCATATATGGCTCATACAAAATGTTATTAGTGAGGTGGTGTCAGTACGCAATGCGGCTGAGGATATGAGGATATCACTCGCGCCATCTCTCTATTGCATTTTTGGAGCTATAAATAGTAGTGAATGAGTGAAGTATGGAGAGTGGAATTCAGGCAAAACAGGAGGAAAGGGTTGGTCGTGTGCATGAGGAAGATGAAAATATGTCATCAACCCCCGCAAGAGCTGTGAATAACCTATTTGATGGGCTTGTGTATAGAATAACGATTGTCAACTTGGCACTCGCCAGGCCAGGGACGACCACTTCCGAGCTGGCAATCAATGCTCTCACATTATCATGCCTCACTTATCTGTTACGGGTCACCGCCCGATTAGGGTGTCCTTCCATGTACCTATTCCTCTGAAAATGAACATTGCTTCTAAAATTAAAATTAAAAATACTTTTGTCAAAATGTGATCATATATCGCAGGTATCGATGTCAGCTGTACAGTTTTTATGAGATTTCTGTTGAATTCAAGCAATACGAATTTGACGAGACCCAATGTATGCTGTTGGCCCATGATCTACAGGATCTTTATCATTCGCTCCAATCTGGATTGTTGGTGCATAAATACTCCTCAATTGCTTAGAATTGATAGCTGCATACTCATTTCATAGTTGATACGCTGGAATGAGATTGTGGCTCTGGAAGGTACTGGTGAGTCACCCCGAGGAGTCAATGGGGGGGAGGGGTATATGTTGGGAACTATTAGAATATAATGTTAAACTACATTACATGTCCTTTTATTGGAACAATCATGATTCACGTATAGGGCGTTGCCCTGTAGCATTGGTGTCTGAAATAAACTCATGTTGAATTTGTTCCGATTTTTTGCTCATATTCCTTAAGTCCCAGTAGGGCTAGAGATACATGGTGCACATATGAAGATTAAGAGTGGTATGACATTAGTACTGGTAAGTTTCGTGCAGGCAATCATGCCACGACCTCGATAGTATCCTTCCTAGTGAAGGTATACATTAATATGGAATGAGCATCTTCTTTGCCATAAAATGAATTTAAAAGAAAACTGACTGAATAAGAGAAGCATCAGAGAAAATCCTTCATGAAACGAGGAGATCTTGATGGGCTTCTTCCACGTGTGATAGCTGAGAAAGCTGGAGGACTTCTTCAAGGAAGAGGACACATTTTTGGCAGCGGGAAAGGAGAGGATTCAACCGGAGTGTTTCCTTCTGGTCGAAAAGGAAATGACGGAATTGCATGAATTGAGGCGCTATACCCGGCCCTTGGTCGTCTCACCCATGACTCTCCAACCTGCTCTTGCCGCATTTGTCCCGGACAACGAAGACGAAAAAGACACTATTGGCTCCAGGTTACCCTCCTCTCGATTAATGACCGTTCTCGGTGTCTGGGGTGGTTTCAGGAAATTTCCGACTGCTCACAGATCTAACAAATTTAGGTTTAAGTGAAAAAGCAGGCTGTATAAAGAAAAGAACGATGGAAAGCACTAAAAGACAACAAAAAAAAAAAACAGAAAACAGAAAAGGAGGAAGTTTCCTTCTACTTCGTGGAACTTACTTGGATGTGTCTGAAAATGTTCTTATCCACAATGGGGCTAGATTTCATTTTCCTGGCAGGTTTGAGGGGGGAGCTGACGAGCCGTCCTGCAATCAATGGAGATCTCAGGAGGAATTGAATTCTCAGATATTGGAGGAAGTTTCTTCACCTATTGTTCTCTCCTCGCAAGGTTAAATTCCAGTCATTCTTCATTCTCGAAAGCAGTACCCCTTTCGTTGCCGTGGGAATTTTTTTAATAATTAACCTCCTGGACGCCCCGACAGATTGCCCGAGTCTCCAGAACATGGTCTCGAACCAGTCCATGTTTAAAGCTAATGCATTCTGCGAGGACAGGAATGTGAATAGTCGTGAACGTGGAAACGGTGAGAACCACCCCACCGAGCATGCGCAGGCTGGGCTGCAGCGGGGAAGTCACGTGACGAAAAAAGAATCCCAACTCCGACCTGATCAGATTGAAGAGCCTTATCACCCGGAGCGATGGAGAAGGGATCAGATGTTCCTCCAGGATCCTTCCTTCAAGTCCTACAAGCAATGACAACTCAGACAAGTTTTCAAACATTTATTTAAACTAGACTACAACTTCCCTAAAAATGGGTTGACCCTTTTCCCTCTCTTCTCATTCTCAATTGGGAATAAACAGTCTCACCGGGTAACATCAAGAAAGTCTTCCTTAATCTCTCGTCACAACGCTAAATATATTGCAGGTAGCATAATTTTTGTTCTAATAATTTATCATTATTTTAGATTGATGGGTCGTGTATCACTGGACGACTCCTGTCGTGATGGCGCCCTGAGCATCGCGAGGATGGGCAAAGCAATGACGTAAACGGTCATGGATCCATAAAAGAGAGTGGGAGAAAATTCATCTTGAATCTGGGACGCACTTCTTGAGGCAAAGCAGCTGATGAGGAGTCCCAGGGTTCCTCTTGTTCTTTCCAAGACCCACTGTTCGAAAGAAAAAATAATGATTGAAAGGGGTTAAAAGAAAACTTTGCAGAGTTCGGTTAAGTTATGATTCACGAAACAAAAAACTCTGGCTAGAAGTCAACAATTTAGTTGCGAAAGGATGTCTTGCGTAAGCGGAGTGATATGACGATTGGGACTCAATCGAAATCGGAGATGTCCCGATACGAATTTATTTATGAGGCATTTTTAGATTTGGTTCTCTCTGAACCGCATGTGTGGAGTAATCACGATTAATTTGAATGAGACAAGAATTCCTGTTCGTTTCCCCTTGTTAGCTGACTGCCTAGAGGACTGGGGGTTTGAACGCGCAAAGAGGGCGCCCGAAGGAGGGCGGGGCGGGAGGTGCCATCGCCCCCTCCCCGGCCCACCTCCATCCCGAAGGGGTTGTGTGAGTGGTAGGATTGAGTGAGGCTGACGCTGTAGAGAGAGATGTGAGAAAAAGAGAAAGAGATATAACAACCTTTATCGGGCAGAGCCAGAATTTTCAGAACGAGTTTTAATGGGAGGTAGGTATCAATTGCTTGAAGTTACTTGCTTGGGCTAGAGATGTCCCATCCATCTCAGGAAGTACAGAAGGGTGCCCAAAGAAAAATGAAACGATCTTGGCGACTTCTAACTTTGACGTCTTTATATCTTCCATCTCCGGTCATGTTCAATTTGATCAACAATAGCCCTTCACCACAATTTCCATTCAGTTATTCAGACTTTCTTAACAAATAAGTCCAAGGTCTCCCACCCCATTTTCCAGACCCCTACCCTTGTTTTGAGGTGTTAGCGTGCAAGTGTTCGCTTGAGCAGTTCAAATACATAAAAGTTCATTATAACTACAACTACACCTGACACAGACGTCATTGAATATACCGGGGTTCGGTGGCCGAGTGGTTCTGGCTTCCGAGTGAAACCCGGATTGCGTCCGTGTGATGGCGGGCTCTTCCTCCGCCGACAGGCGACCCACCTGCTTTCATGGGGAGTATTTGCTTAGCGTGGGATAACACACACACCACCCTGTGTGCCACGTCTAGGATGCGGGTGCAGTACAACTTAAAAACTACTCGTGCCAGTCATAGGCGTAGGTAACCCATGAGCTGCCCCTATGGCCTCCTACAGGACCGTAAAGGGGTGTCCCAGCCTAAGGGACTGTGATACGGATGTGGTGCTCGTGCCAAGCGGGCACCCCCTTCCTCTCTGTGTCATGTAAAATGCGTCCGTTTTCCTGTATGTCCGTCACATGTCCTGTCTTTATCTAAAAAAAAAAGAAGTTATTGAATATTGTAGTCTTCGTTCCGGTTTCACTTTTGGAGGAACGTGACTGCCGATTCGGTAGTGTGGCTTAATGCCTCGTCTTAATGAAGCTTTACCTTTGAAACATCTTTACCTTGTATACTAGGGATCTCTTCTCGGTGCAGAGGTGCCAGTACGTTCGGTAACGGTAATACATAAAGTGACTACCTATGGGCGACTTTTTCATTATAAACCCTGAAGAAGACTTTTTTTTGTTACTTTCGTAGACTGACAACGTACCGACCTCGGAATAGTGTCAGATCTTTTCTCCTTCCATTTTGCCACGGCCGAGAATTAATTTCCCGGAGGCATTTCTGTGCCCTGAGAATTGCATTGTCGGCAACATCATGAGCTTTCCGCCACTCACCGACTTCTTGTAAAATGCGACACACTGTCGCTTTAGAAACTGACCATCATTTAGCAGTGAACTCTTCCACAATGATAGAATAAGAATTCCCTTATATTGTACGTATGTCTAGCAAAGTCCTTGCTTTTCTTCCATTTCCAGTTGGAACATCACTGAGTGAAAACGGACACTCATTGCAGATACCTTATATTTTCTACATATATCCTGGCATTAACAGCCTCAGGCGGGAAAACTTGCTATGATAATTCAAAGTCGTTTCATTTTTCCGTTGGCACACTCTGTACAAGCCTGTTGATCCAAACCATTTTTTTTTTAACTGTTGACTGAATATAGGAAGGTAAATGAAGTCGGAATGGGCGAAAGAGCCTCTTAATACCTACCTACGCGAACATTGAAAATTAAATTACACTAAAGCGTAGATTTTAAAGACACGATAGCACGTTTAAAGCTGAGAATCGCAGTGCAATATGGTTTTCATCCATGCGACTTTTCATCCTTTCAGTTTATGTTCATGTTTCATCTGTAACAGAAAGTTTTTGGGAGACCTGATTGGTCTCAACATGGCAATCGATGAACATGCAAAGCAGCTGTCTCCATAGTTCCTCAAGAATATCATTATGTATGAATAACATGATCTATGAGGAAAATCATCCTCAGACGTAGCTAGGGGGGCTTGGACCTTCTCCTTCCCCCTCCCCCCTTTCCTCTTCCCTCCCTCCCCTCCATTCCTTATTGAAAACAGGATTAGATGGAGGAAAAAGAATGGACGTGGATTGCCTGCTAACCCCCCAACCCCTTTTCTCCCTTGTCCGAATTTTGTGGGTGACCCCGATCTACAACTCACATCAAGATAACAAAGTAGGAGGAGTCATCTCGCGGTTCTTGGAATCAATCCTCTCGAGGATTGATTTCAATGACCGCAAGGTTGGTGGGCAATGCTGGATTACCCACTGGAACAACCATTCTCTTGTGGGAATGGACACGGAGGGCAACACGTCCAGAAGAAGAATGTGTCGATAGCTAGTCGAGACTATCTCGATAGCTACTCCTGCGTCACAGATCACGTCCAAGGGGATTTGCGAGCGCTCTCACGCAAAAAAACATGACTGAATTGCTTTACAGTGGATTGCTTTGTTTGTAAACACAGCAATCCGCTGGTCATTCGATGGTCATACGATAGTACCCCAAGTAAGGAAACCATAGGAAATTAATAACAGTCAGTCTATGCAGGTTCTCCTTAGAGGGAAATAATAATAAATCAAATGAAGAAAACAGGTTCAAGCTGACCCCTTTTTACATTCTAGAAATAGCCGTTCTCCTTCATCATTAGGCAAATGATGTGCATAATATACTGTAAGTAAGTTATTACTTTGAATTGCTACACTCTAAAGTAGAAGTGGTGAGAAAATTAATCCTTATAGCAGGAAACGGGAGCATCATACCTTTAAACTCATGCTGACAATCTTCACTGATTGCCACTTCGCCAGCTTCCGTGTGGACTTCGTACATTTCCAATAAATCGATATCATTCATTACTATCGTAATTCGTTAGTTGCCTTGCTAAGGTGAAAGACTTGTCGGATGTTGGAAATCATACGCGGACCATCGCCGCGGTACTACCGCATACAACGGTAATGCAGCTAGGAGCTGCGAGAATGAATCATGAAAACCCCAACAAGGATTTCGCACAATAGAATGTTTCTAAGGGATGGCTTAAATAAAAGGCTATTTCATATCAATTGGCTGCATTTACGCTTGGCATGGCATCCCTCCCTGTTATGGCTGTTTAGGAAGGACAATGGAGATGTAACATGCATTATGTGCTAGATCAGTCTTAATATGTTAATTTGCACGGGAGTTGACCATGTGGTCAGAATGGACAAAATCACTCGATGAATTGCTGAATTCATAGGGGTTGATCAGGTCATATTTCGTCGACAAAGAATTTATTCGTCAAGCCTATGACCTTGTATGATCTGAACCGACGAATCTCGAAACCGATTCTTTGGAAAGATGCAAAATGATACTCGTGCTTGAGCGACGGACCTTCCAAGGTTCCTCAACTGGAAAGAAAGTGGGAGTGCTATCTTAATCGAGATCCTCGCTTCTCCATCTCCTTCGCCGCAACAGGGAACGAGAAGTTAGACAATTAAATCGGCAACGAATCGGCGTCTGCAAAAGTCAAAGTTTGATGACGCGATAATTTTCACGGTATGCATGGTGCGTGATGTCTTTCGAGCTGGGACGTGCCCCCCCAAGATCTGGACACGGCCAGCCCCTCGATCAACCTCTGTACTTACGTCACCCCTTCATTTAGCACGTGTAAGAGAATGCGCCGGATACCACTCCCTTTATCTAAGGAGTGGCATTCTGTGCATATATGTTTAATCATTAACTCGAGCGCTGCGCATGTACCTCTGCATTGCGACACGGGTCAACTGTCATAAGGTTTACAGGTATTTCCAGTAGAAGAGAACTCGGGCATTTCCATCGATTCCAGAAAAATCAAACATTGCTTTCGTTAGACTTTCCAGCGTCGTAAATCAACCGGAGTTAATTGAGAAAAGATCCGAACGAGAGAGAATGACAAAAAGCTACATGAAAATTTCGTATGTGTCGTGGGTTCGGAAAATCCCGTCCGAGTGGGATTTCGACCTCGTTCCGTGATCTATCATTTCATCATCCTTTTCAACGTGTCCGCCGGCCTTTTCTAATAAGGTGGGGGGGGGGAGGGGGGGGGGGAGGGGGGGACCGGCCGCGATTATGTAATAGTCATCTCCCCCCTCTCTTTTCTGCGTCTCTCGCTCGAAGTGTTCGGAAAAGGGGACCTTTGCTTCTGATCACTCTTCTAGGTTCTGTTTCCAGCGAGGAGGAAAGGAATCCTTCATATAAATATCGGTTACCGCGATGGTAACAACCACAATTAGAGGCCATGTCGGCTGCCATCGTCAGGGTTATGTAACGACATCCGGATTTTTCATATATCTCCTGAAAATGCTGCCCTAATATATATACGAAATACCTGTTCAACACGTCTCAACTGAGTCCCCAATGACCGAACTGGCTAAAGATCGAAAAACAGAGATTAGGCCAAAAGGAAAAATAAAATTCGACGAAATTTAAATGGCTCGATAACTTTTTGCAGCTGAAATTTTCTCTTTAGACTGCATCGCGACAGCAACGATCGCGTGGAACGCGATGACTCACTTGCAGGATCGAAGCGGCAACGACGAAAGAAACGACGTTGATGGCGACGGAGACGAGAAGCGAAAATCGGGAGACCCACTTGAAAGGCGTGAGACGATCCACGAAATCTCTGCCCTCCATCTTGAATTCAACAGCTGGAGACTCCTTTTCCCTTCAGAATTTGGGAGCAGAGACTCGAAGCCTCGCCCCCGGGGCAAAAGAAGCGGACACTCACCCTTACGAAGGAGATGCACTCTAGCGGATGTAATGGCCAAGGTTGAATTCATTCCGTGACGTCACGGAACTCTTCGGTCTGGCCTCTACGGTGTCATATTCGCATCTGTTTACGTTGCGTTCTCACTCGTGCGCCCGTATATTCAACGTCTGGTCGCAATAAATGCATGCGTTCATCATGAGGGATGGATCCCGGCCCATAAAAGTGTTCATCAGTTCTTCATCGGATTCTGGCTTCGTACAGAGCGAAAACGCATCATCTCGTTTCCTTTCTCGTGGGTTCGTCTGTTCCCACACCAGTATCCGACCCGATTCCAGAGGGAGAAAAACACTTTTACAATCGTCGTAGCCTGATTCCATTTCATATCGATCCTAAATGAAATGGAGGAATGAGGCTAGGATACCTTGACACATTTGAACGACATGGAATGAAGTCCGAAAGGGTCCAATCGTTAAGCAATGAATAATGAACGCATTCCTATTTTCCTTGCTGCTATTATCATAACTACTTCTACTACAACTACTCGTTGGATTCCACCGGTACAGCCATGACCTGTCCGCTATTTCGTCATAGAAACCTGCCATATTTTTTTTTAATCTTCAAAATGTCAGTAATGCCAAAAAAAGGTGAAGTAAAGGTAGCAGCCGGAACATGCTGGTAATGCAAACTGCG